GAACAACACTCTATACTTATTCGGTTGGATCGGTGGTGATCGTGGAAACACACAGATATCAGGGGCGTAGATAACAACTAAAAGCTTGGGATATTTGTATACGACACAGTCTTTCGTTGTATACTAATTACCACATCAAACTGGTCACAGTTTTGCAGAAAGAAGTAGTTTGATATCCTGATTATAATTTGGAAGTCATCAGCCGGATATACACCTGTGTAGTGGGCTTTGCTAGTAAGAATGGATATAAGTAGTATATGTTGAGAGGGCGGCAGAAATCATAGGGAATTACCAGGATTATCCTAAGAGAAACGCAAGAGATAATGCGGGCCAATCAGGAGATAAGCAGAAGAGAAAATGAAGCACATTTTACAAATGACTGTTCTAGTACAAGATGTAACATATTTAATGACTACTGTACCACTTGTTAACAAGAAGCGTTCTTTCCTTCGTCTGTGTTTTCTCTTTTCCTTTCATCTGCACGCCAGTGAGTGCTGTTGTTCCCACTGAGACTCAAAACGCGTGTCCTGGAATCCTCTGCTAGCCACAACAAAGTAAATATTCAGGCTATATCGAGACATCCACATAGGAGTCCATAAGCCAACAGAGGTCGAACAATTCGATCCAGTGTAACAACGGAGAATTACAAACATATCAATAAATAGTAATAATCTTGATTATATCTGCTCTTTATCAGACTACTGGAGGTCATTTGTTTTCTGGAGCCACTTAACCGCATATTCAATGTTATTCTCAGCTGCATGTAGTGATGACTGCGTATGTGTATCTAAGCTTATATATGAAATGGTATACACAGTGAGATATGATACACTCGTTCATGTACTTGTGTTGAAGTATAGATTTTGTTTTCTCCACTAAGATGATCTTGGCCGCGTCGTATAATCTGAGTCTTTTCTTCAAAATTGGGCTATTTGATTCACCCCTGTATGGCAATGTGATATACACATTTTTTAAAGGACAAAACATTGATCAATCAGTTTCAATGTTGTACCAATTTACATATGTTGAAAATTCTTAATGGATATCCATTTTGGATCAATGTATCCGTGACCGATTTGGCTTCCAATTCTTTTATGCCTTCTGTGCAAATACGATCAACTCTATTAAATAAACACTCAATCAAGCCCCACTTGTACTGGATTGAACAGTAACTATGGCAACTGAAGTATTGTATTGTATGTTTAGAAATGGTAGATTGTTACCCACATCTTCTTAAAAAGTGTGGCTTATGTGGCTTTGTGTAGTAATAGTAATAAGCACATTGCCTACTCGGGTTTCTCACAAATAACAGTTATGTCGTCAGCATATCTCTTATAAAAACAAACGTTTATCATCAATCTTCGGCTAACTCTCTGCAGTATGCTGTCATACACATCAGTCAACAAAGTTCCTGGGGGAGACTGCCCACGCCAACACCATCGATTTGTTGAAAATATTCGCCCTCAAATTTAAACGATAGATTCTGAACTCAAGTCTCTTTTGGGACCAAACCACTCACTTGATGGTAGATAAATCCACCTAACGAGTCCTAACTAGGACGAAATGCTTGTCGTTCATTCCACTGTTAACCACTCTCCATCATTACTATCGTTAATATAATCAGCCTAAAAAGCTGCTGAGGATATCTAGACTAAGATAGGATACAAATTGATTAAATCAGCGTTTGTTGACTAAATTCATGCAGACGGAGTTTTAAAATTGTGAATAATCTGGCGCATTATTCAAAACTGATTGAATTGTCGCAGATGTACTCAGAACTTATCTTTCTATGAAATGACAAACCTCAGATTATTCTTCATTATTTACTCGTCCTCATGCTGTACTTCTCTCTTTTGTTATATTCTTTATTTTAAAATCTTTCCATATCTGGTAATTTTCTCTTCCTTTTTTCTGTAATGTAGAAGCAATTCACTTTTGTGAAACGTTCTACGTCATTGTTGTTATCTATACTGGGTGATGATGATTGAAGGTGAAATGAAAATTTCGGCCACGGCAAGATTCGAACCAGCGACCTTCGGATTACCCTCCCGATGCTCTACCAACTGAAGTACGATATCCAGCTGCTGACCGGATTTTAATTACACTTCAATCACCAAAAGCTTTACCCAACTACCATGCTATTGGATCTATCTATATTTCGACTCATCTGAATGTCTTTTATTCAAGGCTGAAATTTACACACACATTTGATTGCATAACTTTTCGAGTGTTTCGTGGTCTCAAAATAGCAATAATCGTTTAACAATAATGATAATAATTCTATCGGGAGGTTTGCGGAGATTTATTAATTGATTTCAGGTTGAAATTCATCATGGACTGACGTCAGTTGGAGGAACATTGGAAACCTGGGAGCGCTGAACAACTGTTTCATCCTAGTATGGAACTCCTTAGCAGAGCTCACCTATGACCTAAAATCAGTCAATAAACTTCCACAAACTTCCAGGTAGAATTAATCTAGCGCTTATTAGTGACTAGTTTTGAGAGGTGGTTTCCGAACTTCCAATGAGAAGTCATGACCAGTGAAGTCAACATGAGAACAGTTACTCAAAAACGATATTGGATGTAGGTCACGCCATATCGTGAACCGACAGAAGCAGGAAGTATGGACCATTTGATTCCGCCAACCCAGTGGCTCAATGGTAACGTGCTGGCCACGTAACCTGAAGGTGCTTGGTTCGATCCCTGGTGTGATGGGGTCATGGGTGCACACTTCTGAGGAGTCCCATACTGGGACGAAGTGGCTATAGTCTAGTGCTCCGAGGTTTCCAATATTCCCCCAATTTGTGTCAGTCCATGGTGAATTTCAACCTATAATCAATAATAATAATCGTTGAAGTTGGTATCGATTTGTGATTAAAGGACAATTATGATCCTAATGTTGGTGATATTCTTTCTTCAGTGTACATCTTAACATGCGCACCCTGAAATTTCTAGAAAAAACCTACATATTTATTTCAGCATCTGATCATTGACTCACTCTCTATCTCTCTACTTTATTTTCTTCGTTGTGCCAATCTTGAAAATGCTTTTTGTTTGTTTGCAAATATTTATTCATGTATTTTCGTCAACGGAATGAACCTCCTTGCGTAATTATGTAATGATGAGTATGTAGTGTTTTCCGAAAAAAATGAAGTTTAGTTTATAGCCTGTAGTAGGTGGACTCATATAGGGTAGACGGAGTTAGACTGACAGATTCTTCTTCCTCCTAATTTTGTTTTCAAAAAATATATACTATCCAGTGCATTTTCACCTATTGTGTGCGTGTGCACATGCATGCATACGTGTTTGTATACGCATGTGAAAACTCAGGCTGAAATATATTTCTATGAAAAATGTAATGTAGTTCAGTCTAAGGTATGAGACTATAGATTAATGATGCAGTCTATCTACACAGTGGTCTAATAATTACGGTGTTACCAGTCAGTTCTTGTAGCTCAGTTATTAGAGTACCGTGCTAAAAGCCCAGACGTGGGCCAAATGGTGATTTCACCTTCCATCATTACCCAGTATCAATACATATCTGCCAAACCACGGCTGTCTCAGATGGTCAAACTGATAATACTGTGTTAGTTGACCAGAGGCAATCGACCGGAAGCCCTGGACGTAGGTTTCGTGCTTGTTGGCACTCGCCAGGAGAGCAGTCATGACCAGAATAGCTCAGTGGTAACGTTACTGACTACAAAAAGCACCGAACCTTTGTCAAGCATGGTTTCCCCCTGATCTTCAACTAACTCGCATCCTTGGCGAGCCTTCTAGCTTGGTGGCCACATTGCAAGATGATGGATACAATTTGGTCAATACTCAAGACTTGAAAACATGAAATTGGTTCTGTTCTGATGACCAATCAATGTAATAATCACTCTACTAATTGGTTTAAAGTAATCAGCAAGAAAACTTGTTTGACCTAAATAGATTTCATACTAGTTGTCATTCATCACCAAGGTGTATTCACAACCTTGTTGGAGTTTCCTTGATGTCTACACACATCACCCTCGAGGCTGCAAGTACACTGTGCTGGTGAGTACCTACAACCAAGAAGTCTAAGTCAAACAGGGCACAATGAAAAGAGTCTCCTTGCCAAATGATGACCAATATCGATAGAATTTCTACAACACTCAGGTCAGTTACCCTCCTCCAGTGATCAATCCTTGTACAATAGTCATTGTCTCTGTCTCTGTGTCATGTAATTCCTAATTTAGTCTAAGTATTGAAGTGTTTATAGCTTCTCACCTCCAAAAAAATGCGTACTTATACACATAGCTCACATACCAGTATATATCACTGAGGTAAATCCATTTCTGTTGAGTATGATTATAACTGATTTCGTAACACTGATTGGTAACTGGTTGACAGCCTGTTCTGCCGTTGCTAGTCTATCGACTACTGATCCAACCCTATCGATTAGATTTACAAAATAACCATTCAACCCTTATTCTGACTATCAGGCTGAAGGTGATGTAGACTGTTTTCTTCAAAATCTCTTTAAATTTATCTATTAGCAGTCAACCGTAGAAACTAGTATGCAGGTTTCGTCCTACTTGAGACTCGTTAGCTGAATATATCTACATTCCACCTAGTGACAGTTTTGTTACCATTTAAGCCAAACAGGCATCAAAATAAAAACAATGATAAGATCGAAGTAGTAGGTAGTGTAGTTCAAAATAATGAACATTTATCCTTCAATAAAGAAAACTGGAACCTAATTTTCTAGTATGTTGATAGTCGTCAGCAGAACGTTTCTATCGGTACGAAACAAATGTATAAGTGTCATATCACATTAACTTGATGGCCAGTCGACTCACTTGACTAATGCATTTCTACCAGCACTTTTTTATGACGTTTACAGTGACTACCAATCAGTGTGATCATCTGATGTGTAAATCTGTTATCCAATTCATTTATCCACCGCCTCTTTATCATGTATTGATTTCTTCACTCTTCTACCTATCCGTCTATTTGTTTGTTTATATAACTTCCAGGGCTTGGTCACCTGATCTAATTGATAAACATCATTGTGCATGTCTTCCATCAGAAAATCAAACGGATTATCAGACATTGTCAACTATGTATGAAACTCATCCACTTACTCATATCCCATTGGTTGGTTTCAATTCCACATTTGAACCGCAATCTCTAGAAGATTTGGCTGGTGTAAGTCGTCAAGACAATTTGTTTGTCATATTGTTTCGAGTTGTTCTTTTTTCATGATCATAAATTATTATCTGCTGGCATTTCTTTTCTACATTTTTATTTCTCGTAATGTTTTGCGAATTTTTGCTTATTTGTCTCGTTCCTTGACCAAGTGTCTGGGTAGACTCATTTATGTTGTGTGTGTGTGCATGTGTGGTATTTTGCAGTATGCCCTATAGAATGTTTGTTAAATATATACAGAAGTTGGTTCTGAAGATGTTACTAAGCCTAGTGATGAAAGGCTCACCACAAAATATCAAAGCTCTAAAGAACACCAAACCCCCATCACTACCTGGAATTTTTGTTCAGCATATCATTGAAATAGATAAAAGTTTGCTCCGTTTGATCAGTATGTGTTGGTGCTAAATCTCTTCCCTTGTGACTAGGTGATGATTGAAGTTGAAATGAAAATTTGGGTCGCGGTGGGATTCGAACCAACAGCCTCCATGTTACCGGCTCTGTGCTCTACCAACTAATCTACGAGACCCGGTTTCTGATTAACTACATCCTCATTTCACTTCAATCATCAAAAGGTTTTGCCCGACTGCTATGTGAATTCCCACTAGCTGTACATTCAAGATTTCTCAACCCAATCCAAATCAAACTGAATTGGAGAGGTGAGGCATCATATTGATTATCAGTTTGACTATCTGAGATAACCATCGTTTGGCAGACTTGTATTAATAATGTTGGGTGGTGATTGAAGACATTAATCGACCAATGAGGTTAGATTGGTTGTATACTTTTTCTTCCTTTGTTTACAATGACTAACTTCATGCCTTCAGATTTCCTCTGGGATTTTTTTTGCAAATTTCTTAGCAAAGCAGACAATCAGAACAAATTTTGCGGTATGGATATTTTAAGAAGTCATGACTGATGAAATCATATGGTACCTCATGGTAGAATGTCAAAGAACAAGCTTTGAAGTTCAGAGAACACTAAATGGCAGCTAACATCTTCCTGAGCTGTTAATCTTGGCTAGCATCTCAATGGTGTGCTTCGTTGCATTCTCTTCAGATGTTTATAGACTAGTAAACAGTCAGCTATTAAAAAAGAAATAAAGAGGGTGAACATACTTCAGAGTTGAATTTCCATAATCCTCTTTAGAGGCAGTAGAAAAAACTGAAGTATGCGGGGTTGGAAAGAATAGTTAAATATTTGGAGGTTATATTTGAAATTTGGATGTTAATTCCAAAGCGATTAAAGTGATATAATCAATTTATACGGGGTCAGCCTGAAGAGCATAAAATAACAGTACCATTGAATAGCAATCAAACTGGTTTTAGAGTTTTAGTCAATGACGTGACAGAGAAGGCGAAGAGAGTAGAGGAATCTCCAAGTTTATCACAAAAGTATTGAGTCTTTCTGAATGCCGGTTGAAATTTCTTCTGTGAGTTGAATTGTCGTAAAACCAATGATTCTAAAAGCGATTGCGGTGTTAACATTATTTCGCGTATCGAAAAACGGGCTTCGAGTAATTGAAAAAAACTCAATTAGCTAGCTTCCCATCTGTCTGTCCTCCTAATTTACCTTTTGTTACAACTACAAGTAATATTGGATGATGATTCAAGGTGAGATGAGAATTCGAACCAGCAGCCACTGAGTTTCCGACACGGTACTCTGGCAATTGAACTACGAGGTCCATCTGCTGACCAGATTTTTATTTCACTTCAATCACCAAGGGTTTTGCCTGACTACTTTGTGAATTTGTAACACATTATTGCCGCTTGATCGTATTCACATTGGCTGCTCAATCAGGACTTCCCATCCCAATCCAAATGCAACTGAATGAGAGAGCTTCTTTCTGATTATGATTTTGACTATCTGGTTCGGCAGACTAGTATTTATACTGGGTGATAATTGAAGGCGAAATGAAAATTTGGACTGCGGCCAGATTTGAACCAGCGAGCACCGGGTTTCCGGCCCGATAATCTACCATTTAGAGACTACGAATTCCGACTGCTGACCAGATTTTTATTTCACTTCAGTTACAAGTGGATTGATAAACGCAGTTTGAAGTGACATGAATTGGGTATTCATCTGTCTACTTTTTTCTGCGTTATTGAACACTTTACAGTGGGATAATTTTCACTACAGGAAAGGATGTGCTTCATTCAACATACAATAGTTGGTTAGATTCTGTCTTTATTCTATCAGTGCTAGCGGGATAAACACCAGTTTCTTCTCTAGTCTAATTTCTAAGCCTTTAGACGACGGTTTATTCTCCTCATTTTCCATCTTCTTGAACCTATTTCTAAGTGAGTAGAGAATAAAACATTTCTCTTCTAATTTCGTTAGTGAGCAGAGTTTCCTAAAACTCTTTGTTATAGCATCCTTACCGACTATTGTTTGTAATGCACCGTAAAAAAAGCCATGGAAGTTGAAACGATGTCTACTTTAGAATTTTTTCGATAAACATACCTCTGAAATATTTTATATCATTTCTTGGTGTGGTACCTAGATCTAGAAAGTAAGAGATATTTTTTAACTTCATGTTCAATTGTAAATTTAGTGCTTGAATAGGATATGCTGAATAATTTAAGCAGAATTTCGACTTAAGCAATATAATTACATATCCGGTATAAAATTTCACCTCGTTGATTTCTCTGACTAGTTCACAGGTTTACCAGTAATGTTTCATTTTGACTGTATCACTTGATTTGTTATTTACCTCCCCTTTTTTATTGGTTATCCATTCATACTTGTTAACAGCTCCTTCTGTGGAATACTATTAGTAAGCTCTCTCGATGTTAGCAGTACACCTATCAAATATATCAACACCGACAAAGAAAAGAAGACGCATTTGCAGGCTTCTCATTATTTTACGACTCACTTAGGAATATTAATTCAAACAACTAAAGATTCCCATAATATTGATAGAAAGCCACAATCTGTACAACGAATAATATTTTCAATAGAATTCTCCAACCAGGTTCTACAATCATAAAATACATTTGTACAGCATAAAATCAAGCTAAACTAAGGGCAATTACATTTTCAAGATGTAATGAGAACTAGGGATTGTAAGGAAATCAATTTATCTTTATTAAATTAGTCAATATTAGGATGATACATATACAGATGAGTGATGTGATAATGGACAGAAAGATAACGATAAAAAAGACAGGAGTTGCCTTTAGTTTGCTGAAGGCCAAGGCAGAAGTAACGCTTGGAAATGTTCTTTCTCAATGCAGAGTTTAAGCTTGATCAATCTTATTGCGACAGCCTCCGCTATGTTGAGTAGGCGTTGACGAACTACATGTAATGTCGTTTTGGGAACATGATGAATGACATTGGAAGCTTTATTAGCATCTGTGTGATGCTCTGTGTCAACAGGTGCGCTAGGACTAAACTTCCCGCCACTTTCACTTCGCCCTTTTCAAACCAAGCTGGTAAATACTCTCGTATCTAGAGACGTACCTGCCTAGTTGCACACCCTGTGTAATTAGTTCCACAGAACAGTTAGGTTGATATATGCAAGATGAAGAGCTAAGATTAGGTAGGCTATTCTTTAGTCTCGGATTGAGCATTGGTCGACTACTGAATGATATACAAAGCCGACCCGCAAGAAACATCCTGTTGACTGCTCTAGCTAGGCGTTATGATAGAATGTCACTTCCAGCATCTTCCTTGAATTGTAAGCGCAGAAACAAAGGCTTCTTTCTCACTGTCATCAGTTCTTGTTTAGAACCAATGTAGTTGATGTTAGTTTTGATGAACCTATCCGCATATCCATTTTCGCTTAGAATATCACGAATACCCATTAGTTCTTTTTTCCGCACACTCCATGGAACAAACAGATCTTACTGTAAATTCCAAGCATCTGATTATATATATTGGTTCTGTGTTTTACAGTACGAAGCTGAGGAAGTGCGTATACTGTGCCTTAGACGTTAGTTTTCTATATATACTTCTGAGTATAGAGCCATATTTATTTCTTGTTATTAGCATATCAAAAAAATGTGTGGAATCATTGATTTCATTTTCGTATTGAAAATGAATTGACGAATGAGCACTGTTGAGATGGTTCAGAATAGGACTAATACATATGCACCTATCAAAGATTAAAGAGGAACCATCCGCATATCGACAGTAAAACTACATATTAGCAATTTGATCTTTCAAAGTACCACTTTGTCAAAAATATGTCTGCAAATGCTGAGTGCAATGGAGATTCTATAGCCATTCCGTCAACTTGTCTGTACAGATTACTGTTGAAGATGAACTGGACATTCACTGTATATTTTAGCAATAGTTCTTACAAATTCATAACAGGAATGCCAGAGTGTAGGTTACCTTCAGTGGTAGCGCACGTAGCTGACACAGAGCATCACACAGATGCTAATAAAGCTTCCAATGTCATTCATCATGTTCCCAAAACGACATTACATGTAGTTCGTCAACGCCTACTCAACATAGCGGAGGCTGTCGCAATAAGATTGATCAAGCTTAAACTCTGCATTGAGAAAGAACATTTCCAAGCGTTACTTCTGCCTTGGCCTTCAGCAAACTAAAGGCAACTCCTGTCTTTTTTATCGTTATCTTTCTGTCCATTATCACATCACTCATCTGTATATGTATCATCCTAATATTGACTAATTTAATAAAGATAAATTGATTTCCTTACAATCCCTAGTTCTCATTACATCTTGAAAATGTAATTGCCCTTAGTTTAGCTTGATTTTATGCTGTACAAATGTATTTTATGATTGTAGAACCTGGTTGGAGAATTCGATTGAAAATATTATTCGTTGTACAGATTGTTGGTTTTATAAATATTAATTCACTTGAAATTGAGTGTTGGAGTTTAGACTGTTCGAACAACCATTGTGATTTATTATCACGGTAATAGCGCAATGCTGAACTTGCAAACTGTAAAGTCTTCATTCCTTATTTCATCGATTTCAGTTAATAAAAGTATAAACACGTAGAAATCCTTGCTAATTGTATGTTAACTAGCTTCACTATATATGTTGAAGGCTGTAAGATAATTCAATGACTGGCCAAACACATCAATCGTATGTATGAACCACAGTGATTGAAGAACGTCTAGGCATATCTGACCGACTGAACCATAGCTTTATACATCCAGTACAATATAACATTATTTGGTGTACATAAACTTTTCAAGATGTTGTTTTCCGATAGAATATAGTAAAATAGTCTGGATGGAAAGTCACAGTACTTAAATTTTTTCTCGTTGGTTGTACTCACTTGAAGTTATTTACAGAGGGTTAGCAACGCGCAATTAGATTAGCTTCTTAACAATTGATCATCAGCTTGAAAGTATTTTCCTCTGAATAACTAAGAAATTGATTCTTGTGAGAATTTTATGTAAAGTTAAAGCAGGAATGAGTAACTGAATGACTTTTGGGTCGAATCCTGCTGGAACATAGGCTTATTTTCAAGCCTATTCGCTATCGATATAGCAATAAGAGGGTCAACTAACCATGGATTATTCGGAATGTATTTTTCTAAAATGTAGAAATTGCTCACTAGAAATTGAATGTGAAACCTATGTGTGTACTTCGTGTGTCTACTTGCATGCATCTGTTTGCAGTTTCTCTTCTACTTGGTAGTGTCATTTTTCTATTGTCTGTATATTATTATCATTGTCATCTTCTCCTGCTTTCATCTACCTCTTGTTTCTTTTTCCCTTTTGAATATTTTAGAAAAGAATTGATTGGGAGGCGATTTCACGTGGTCGTTATTCATGGAAATCACAAGAATATCAAGATTTATGCGTTCAGTTGAATGGTACATGGATAGGTAGCAGTTGTCGGCCATTCTATGTACCAGATGTTTTCTTCTTTTCATGTATCCTGTTTATGGCAACATTTATACTTGCATTCACTATGAAATCAATGCGTAACTCGCCATTCTTTCCTAATCGTGTAAGTAGAAATGTTTTTATCATTATTATTACTATTATTTTGGTATTCTATTTAATCGAGTAAGTTGGTTGTTGCCTACCAACAGCTGCTACCTTAACTCGGTGGGGTTTCGGCTTGCTTATTGCTATGATCCACTAATATGCGCTAGCTGAAACACTTGTTTATTTAAGTCTTAACACACCAAAAATTCTCCTGGATAGGGGTAAGATAAAAGCTGTCACCTTTATAATGTAAGTAGCAACCTATGGTAGGGATCTGAGGATGAAATTGTACTGCTGGTTGATTGTGGAGGTCTGACAATAGTGAAGTGTTTTCTATGGATAACCAGCAGTTATTGTCAGGTTCTACGTTAATTTGTCTCTCTATCTGCCCCACATCCTCCGGACGTCATCGGTATGGGCTGTTTTTTATCCGAAATCTCAATCGAATACCTTTCAAAAGGGCTATATATCACCGGCTTCTAGCAGGTGTCCTTTGGGTTATGAGGTCATGCAAGTCAAATCCATTTTCTTTTTCGTGTACCTCATAGCAACAACTTCTGTTGTGTAGATAGGTTGGTAGAAGTGTCAACAGTCTGCACGTTTCCAGCTACATACGAAACCCAACTGACTGCAACAATTTGACTGATGCCATACTTAGCCTAAGCTTCACTCTTATCGCACCTTACCTATCAGTAAGGTATGTTTATAGCTAAGAACTAACTCACTTTCATTGTTATCTATTCTAATCGCAAATAACTCACTGAGGTTGGGTGATGTGTACAAACTGGTTATTAGATGTTGTTGGTAGTCAAAGTAAGCTTCTGAGCCTGTCTACTTCACTCTTGGTTAATTTAACATTATGGCTAACTAACAGCAAGCAACCTGAGATATTAGTGCAGTAGAGTGAATATATATATATATATATATATATATATATATATATATATATATATATATTACCTCTAGATTGCAAATAACTATCTCCAACGAGGATCAACAAAAGTGTGAAGTTCAGACGCCTAACTGATCCCCTAAACCGGTTGTTGTCTCTTTCGATCAGGAAAAAAAGCCGCCCGAATGTATTTGAGCCACTACAAATGATTTGAACGTATATCACGAGACCAGTCAATTCTAACGCAGTGACTTAATGGTGACTTGTTTATCTCAAGGCCCAATAGTTCTAAACTCGATCCCCAGCGGGGTCATTGGTGTGCACTGATGGGGAGTCCCATACTAAGACGGAACAGCTGTTCAATGCTCCTGGGCTTTCACTGATTGTCCAGTTGATGTCAGTCAGTGATAAAAATCGATCTCTAGATAAATCAACCGATTTCCAGTACCAATGATGGGCCTATTTTAGTTGAATTGCTTATTGAAAGTAAAGCATAAACAAGGTGTTTCGAAGCATCTTTACAACAGAAGACAGCGAGACTGATTTCTGAAGATGACTTGTATTTCTAGAGTTCCGACTTTATTTTCTCATCAACGGACTTTTAGCCATAAGATCATGATCACAACTTTGAAACCATCTCGAAGAGAATCTCTCCAGGTCCTAGTTAGAAGGCGTTATCTGTGGGGTCAACGAAGTCCAAGAGTAACAATTTATGTCATTAGATAGTGGTTGTGCTGAATCAAAAATGAACAGAAGTAAGAAATGCCGAACATCTGACTCCAACCGATTGGTTGGCTGAATGATAGAGTCGCATACTAGGATGAAACAGTTCTCCAGTGCTCCCAGGCTGTCAATGTTTCTCCAACTTTTTGTTAATCAGTAGTGAGGGTTTGAGCATTCAAAAAGCACTTATTATATATTTTTTAATATTCTGTGTAAGAAGTTCAACTTAGGATATATATTGAATAGTTCTGATGGAAATGTTACCTTCAGAACATTACATCTGAATCCCTATGCCGATTATTCTAAACGCCTTTAATTTCACAAGTTTTCAGAATTATCAAACAAATAATTGCATATAATAGTAGTTTTCCTTTAGAAATATAAATTCTTTAATTATTATACAACAGTGAGTCATCAAAGTTTTTTTTACCAAATATATTCAGAAACTAGAACACACGAATGTATGTTATGATGACAGTCGTGGCTTATCACAAACTGGCTAAAGTATCAAAATGCTCTTCCGAATAATTCTGAGAAGAACGCACACTCAAAAAGGGATAGCGAATTCACTAGAATATCTAAGTATTCTATATTCGATTGTGGAAAGTTCATAACTCCAGTCTCAAACTATAGGGAACAAATGTCAATCTCTTCCTGTGTTGTCCCACTGGTTCTTCAGTAGATGTTTCTCTGAGGAAGTAAACCACTTTCAAACTTATAATCTATACGGAAAACATGGAGTTTTCTCTGAAATGAGACGTACATTTAGCAGCAAAAATAACTAGTCATCCAGTGTAGGTAAGTAGTTAGTGTGACTATGGGCTGAGTGGTGATTCATCAAGTTTGCGATCCCGATCACTAAACTGAGTAGTGATGCGACATTATAGCGTATGTTTACGGACTGGTATTGAAGCAGAAAACGATAGCTTGATGGTTTGGTATGGAGTCACAGCAACAAATACACCAGTTGAACCAAAAGTCTCCAGGAATACTATATCTTTCCTCTCTGACGATACAAAGCTTTTGGGAGACAAAACTTGTGTTTTAAATGTGACGGAACTCACAGATCTATGTATCACAATATACTTCTAATTTAATAGTGGAGTACATAAGCGGGTGAAAGAAACTCCAATGAGATCACTGATATCCGGACTAATCGCAGAAGCAGTGATGCAGAGACTGGAAGTCATCATCTTACCTGTGATCAAATAGAAAATGTGGACTACACTGCATGGATATTACTTTAGTTATCATTAAAAAAAGAATAAATTGGACATGGACAACACGAGCAGTTTGAACAGCAACGTTTTCAACGACATCAAATTCACAATGGAGAGGGAGTCCAACAACTGACTTCTATTCCTACATGTTCTGGACAGCAGAATAAGTGTCGGGAAACTGGAAACCCAAGCGTACAAGAAGCCAACGCACACTGATCAAATCCTTAACTACAACAGTAGCAACAACCCAACAAAGCACAAAATTAGTTGCATGCAGACTCTATTCAGAAGAGCGAGAACACACTGAAGTACAACTACTTCACGGAGAAACGAAGGAAACTACCTTATGTCTATCCTAAAAAAGAACGACCACCCACGAAACTTTATCAGAGGGTGCCTATCCCGTGCACCATCAACTACAAGGTCATCGACAGAAATCGACAAGCGGATCATCCTACCATACATAAAGAGTATATCAGAGATCACGACAATATTACTGAGACCATATGGAATTGGTATTGGCTCATAAAACAATAAATTCCCTCCAAACCCTACTATGCAGACCAAAGGACGCAACAACCAAAGAAGACAAGCCAAATATCATTCACAAAATCAACTGCAATAACTTAGGTCAACACTTCGTTCACTGGACAAAGTGACCGCCCTCTTCGCCTCCGTCTACACGAGCACTAATTGGCTATTGAACATCACTGACGACATTTCATCACTCATATCAAGGCAGGTGGATAACTATGGATATGAATTCAATTTTGAAAATGTAGAAATCCTGGGCAGTGGTTGATAAGGTGAAACCTTTGAACCTGCGTTTCATACTTATCAGCAAAGTAAAGTAGACCTTGAGGAAATTCATTATCCTTAATCACTCAGTACCACAATAACAACGACTAGCGAATGAACCTGTTGTTTGGGGTCAGCTGCTAGTCAAAGTTTGTCGACCAGTGTTTAGAGCTGTCTTGCAATCCATATCATTAATTTAACACACATTGTATAAGTGTTGTAGTCCCTATAATATCTAGGCTCATTATATCAACATACTAGAAACTTTATATACTGATACCAAATCTTAGTGGGATTGCTGAAAAAGAAATTCAGGACGGCCATACTAAATCATGACATCAGTCCATGAAGTGTCTGGCTGTTGTTCTCAGCCATTCAGGGAAATATAATTTTCCAGTAAGGTTCCACGTGACAACCGGGATCAGTGGTTAAAAACTCTTGCTCATATGTCTCGGAATCGATCTTGATGGCACAGATGCATTCAACCATTATCTTCATCTTAGTCGTCATCTCGCCTTCCGTTATTTGTTTTAAATCCCTCCTCCCACCAATGGTTTAGCGAGATGACTACCAACCACTGGGTCACGGGTTGAAGTTTGGGCAACCAAGTAGTATCACTAGCTCCCATACACATGTGCTTTCTTGGTTCTGTTATGTTCTTTTAGCTGAATGGTTTAATCTTGAAGCTTTCATTTTCTTTCTACACAACATCAATAACTGCTGTCTGGAAAGATGAAAGCTTCACGATCTAACCACCCAGCTTAGAGAAGACAACAAAACCCAGATCATCCATCTGAGTTACAAATATTTTCATTTCAACATGTTCTTCTTTATTTTTCTAAAGATAATTATAGTGGGGTGTAAATTTTCTTACCCCACTTTAGACTATAATACTGGATAGTAACCGCTAGTTCTTAGTCATCGCTTCATAAATAGATGTTATTCTATAATATTAAGTGTCGATTTCACTTCATCGATCAAGGCATATGTTTCACATATAGTCTTGACGTCAAACACTACTGTATACTCTTGTATCAAGTGGTTATGGTGTCTTTAATTAGTCTATCATGTGTTAACGCATACAAAATAAGGTTTTGTCTGAGCACGTGAGTTACTCTTTGCACTCAATACTAGCTTCCATCTGCTCACAATTCATACCTCTGATTATTCAGTGACTTCACCTGCCAACCTTGTATTGGTGATAAATTGAAGAGTGTAGGCATGTGGATCAGAACTTCTGTATCCATGATCAGTGGGACTCATCCATGCGGACATGTGAACTAAAAGCTCACAAGGTACAACAATCATATATATATATATATATATATATATATATATATATATATATATATATATATATATATATATATACTGAGTGATGATTGAAGGCGAAATGAGAATTCGGACCACGGTGGGATTCGAACCAGCGACCATCGGTTTTCAGGCCCGGTGCTCTACAAACTGAGCAACGATGTCCGACTGCTGACCAGATTTTTATTTCACTTCAATCACCACGGGTTTTGCCCGACTACTATGTGAATTTGTCACGCGTCACTACCTCTTGATCGTATTCACATTGACTGCCCAGTCAGGACTTCTCATCCCAATCCAAATCTAATGAAGGGGGAAGCATCATAGTAATTATGATTTCGACTACCTGAGCGAGATAGCCATGGTTTGACAGACGAGTATTGATGCTGGGTGATGTTACTAGTTAAATCGAAAAGTCATACCATTATTCAAATGAAAAATGAGAAGTGGACAGATTATTTACTGACTGATAGCGATGGAAAGCTTTGTGAACTATGCTCACTGTTTGTGCTGTGTGTAAAATGAAGTGGAATTTGCCAAGATGTGACATTGCTGGGGTGAAAAATTACAGGCTTTCTGACGGTTAGGGAAGTCACTCTGAAGTTAGCAGTTGAAGTTACAAAATGTTTAAGATAGGTGTTACAAACTAGGAGGTTTATATAACGGGCTAACAAGTAGTCTTCAGGGTTTCGTTGCCAACACTAAAAGGTTGATCTGTTCACTGGCTTTTTCAGTGCCTTGAGGTTAGATGGTGCAACGATTAACTGTGTTAATGAGTAATTTCTTCGGCTTCTAGCAGTGAATGGTTTGTATTGCAGTACTGACAGGAATGGAAGATTTTGCAACTACGGTAGTAGTTGTAATTGTTCGGGCTGCTTTTAAAGTTATTCCAATTAAGGGTTACTTGTGAGTCTACTTTTAAGAAAAGCCAACTGACTCGCTGTGGAGATTCGAATCTGTACTACTTCTTATTGTATCACAACCAGTGATGCTCGCGTTTCATGAATTATAGTTACTAATAATGATGGATAGTGGCTAACAGTGGAATTCAGCTTGACGCGCCTTTCGTCCTATTCGGAACTCGTCGGCTGGGTGTATTTGCCTCCCAGTGAAAGATGCTGTTCCCACTGGGATTCGAACTCGGATCGATCGTTTCAAACAACAGGGCGTTATCCACTACACCACCGAGCCATAACAGACATTTCTTGTGCGATGGGTATAGTTTTAGTGTTATTGCTTGTATTGTACCGTCGTTGATTGGGCCGAATTGATCGGTCTCGATCAGCATATAGGCTCCTGTGTGGATGCCTCGATATTACCTGTGTTCTAGTTATCCATCTTTACTATTATTAGTATCATTATTTTCACAACTTTTAGTGATGAAGAGCCAGATACACTCCCTTCATTACCATTCTTGTCATTTTTTAGGTCAAGTCATTTGACCTTACACTTCCTTATACCTATTGTGTCTAAATACTTTTTTTGTTCTCGTAAGGTGAGGATATTTTCCGCTTTTCCCTGTCCAGATTTATGAACTATTCAGTGTACTTTATTATCCTCCTAATATATAGATGCGTATATCTGTGTGTTTGTCTGAGGCAAATTATTGATTATAAGTTACCACGTTGTCGATTTCTCCTTCCTTGCTTCCCCGTAATGTGAAGAGAGGATTAGCTGATGAACTCCAGTATCATCGGTTTGTAAGGGAAATTAGGCGTAGGCTAATTAACTGATGTATGAATTAGTCTAATTTGTCACAGTAGGAAATTTGTCAAAAAAACAATGAATGAATAAAATTTTCACTGCTTGTTTCTTTCTTGAACTAAGATTTCATCTGTGCGCAGGGGTTTGAAGGTAACAGCAACAGTTGAAGATCACGAGTATAATTTTCCAACATTTTGTTGAAAAACCCAAAACTATATTAGATGAAAGTGGTTTCTAGAAAAGCGAGTGAGAACTAACCACTTATGACATTTAAAACTTCGTAATTATGTAAACTGCATGCCAGGTACCGTGGTGTTTGAGCGCCACAATAATGACCTTCAAGCTTAGCCCGGCGCTTTTGAACTCCCACGGTATCCGTAACCAGCTGACCTATAACATTTCCGGTTACTGAGTTTGATGAATGACCATTAGTATTTGATTTCCAGCTACTCATATTCATGACAACTTGACCTAGAGTATGCAGATGATATAGTCATGTTGCATGAATATGCTGACAAGATGCATAGTCTTCTGCACACCTTAAATGGCGATTTGAGAATGTTTCGGGTACGTTTCTCACCACCCCAATTTAAACTATTGCTTCAAGAGTGGTCTTCACTGGTGCCTTGTCTAACAGTAAGAAGTGAAATGATTGAGCTTGTCGACCACCGTAGTTACGTCGGAAGTCGAATCAGCCGTTCTGAGCCAGTGACCGATGAAACCTCTGCACGCATACAAATGATTGGAGTAGTTTTCATCAGCTTGCTCCATTCATGGCACCCCAGTGATATCTGATTGCTTATTAAGGGTAAAGTGTACTGCAGTGCAGTCACTCTCTTCTGGATGTGAACCATAACAATTGAGGATAGAGGACATGACAAGACTTCAGTCCTTAGATTGCCGTTGCCTTTGTTGATTAGGTTGTGTTTCGTGGTGTCAAAACGTCAGTAATGTAGAGGTCAAATGTAGAGTTTTAGGCGGAAGAGATAAGTTAGTCGATGAGGTTGTGAACCTTTATCGACTGAGGTGACTTGGATTTATGTTACATGTGCGTGGTTACCATCGTCTACGTTGTTGCACAATATTGACTGAATTACGTTCAGACCGGAAAAGGAGTTAGAGGTAACCAAATTAAAACACAATATCAATCACTGAAGTCTTTGGCTGTTGATTTGAGTCATGTAGGGAAATGTAGACTTTTTGATTGGAGTCCGTATAACAACCGAAATCGTTTGTTGGAGACTCTAAGTGGTATGTCTCAGAATCCATCTTGGTGTCGCAGATCCATCCACTCATTATTTTTATCGTATTCTTTCTTATTCTGTTATTGTAACTTTCGACTACTTCTGGTCACTGTTTTTTTGCTTGATGTCTTGGCATCAGATGTGACAACTTGAACCATAACACAGTTATGCGAAGTTTCACATTGATGCTGGCTAATTGCCAAACAGGATTTTGCCACCTACGCTTTTTGAACCTTGCACATTTCCCAAATATTCTTGGTAGCTAACGTGACGAGTAAAGTTTTCGCATTGGTTTTGAACATGGCCACTAACAGCAGTATGTGTATAAAGAAGCAATTTTATGCATTTCTGACACTGACTAATATTACAGAGTTCCGGGTGAAAATCAAACTGTGGCATTCAGTGCCTTCATGGACGATATTATTGACATTGCGTTGCTTTTTTCCCCATTCACTGATTATTTTATGATTTGATTTCAATTAATCCCTACAAACTGTCAACCGAATTATCATCGAGTGGTCATTGGTGACTTTTTGTTGAAATGAATTTTGGATGGTTCTGATAAGAAAAACCGTGACGTATGAGTTTAATTAAGTTAGGAATGAGATAGACAACCTCCGGTAATATTGTATGACGATCTGTCGTGGCTTCCATCTCTCACTGGATCATCGGTACACACTAATGAGGAGTTGTACAGTTCTTCCAATTTTTCGATGGTCCTTAAATAGATATTGATCTGTGACAAAGACGACTTTCGATCTGTTTTCTGTACTGTTGCTACACTTCATCGTTCAATGTTGCATTTTTCAGAGTGTGTATGCGTGTGCAAGTCTATCTCGTATTGTACTTACTCACATTTCATTATTTTATTTTGTTTTTTCTCTTCAGGTACGTTCATTAATCTCAGACTTTTCAGTTGTACTGGCCATCGCAATAGGCACTACAACTGATTTCTTAATGAATTTACACACACCGAAATTGTTAGTTCCAACAACATTTGAACCAACACTGGGTTATAGTGTAAGCTATTACCATATTATTATTATTATTGATAATTATGTTTGTGCTGATCTTTGTTAGTTTCGTATATTCAGCGGAGAGATATGAGATAATCCGATTCACTCTCTCAGTCCTTAAGGTAAATACTTTCGACTTTCTTATGTTGTAGAATGGCTTCGACAAATTACTTATTTCAAGGTAGTATTCATTCCTGACTGAAATCAGTTCGGGAACTAATGAAAACCGTGAAACCACTGGAGAGCTATTTCGTCTCAGTGCAGGACTCCTCAGCACCATGCACTCTTAAATCTCAAACTACATTACTGTATACTGCTCGTTAGTGAGAGATGGATATCTTGAAGTTGTAATAAGAAGCCGCGGTCTGTCCAGTCAACCAGTTGAAAGTAAAGCGGGTGCCAACTGAAGACCTTGCTAAATAGTCCACCTATATAACCAGCTGACAAAAGTGGGAAGCTGTGGACTACTGAACTCTGATCCCATGGCTGAATGGCCAACACGTTCACCATGGGACCTGGAAGTTCTGAGTTCGATCCCTGGTGGGGTCATGGGTGCGCACAGCTGAATGGTAATATATTAGGACGAAGCACAGCTGTCCAGTACTCTCAGATTTCCAATGTTCCTCCAACTGATGTCAGGCCAGGTGAATTCCAACCTAAAATCAATTAATGAACCTCTACAAAACTCTAGATAGAATAAATTACTGATTTGTTCAGTACTTTTAGAGTAAAGTAATATAATTCACAAGAAGAAAGGAAACATCTCGAAATGAGGGATTATTGAACTAGTTACTTCATTTTACTTCAGGATTCACCAAAGTTGTTTGCATCAGGACTTATTCTCAGGATCGAATCAGGTTGTATAATGCTGTTTATTAGATCTTGGTCATCTAATGTCTAGCAACTTCCGATAAGCTGTATATTCTGTGCTCATTCTGCGAGTTAAGCAGTTCCGCAGATGTATATGAATTCTAGGAAATGTTTACTGCACTGATTTACTGATATAATCATCAAAAATTTCCATTATAATTCAGAAGCCATCTGGGGGCAACAAAGAAAATGCTTTCCGATAACTTCTTCAGGTTCTAAAGTTATATGTACAGATTGAGGAGTTAAACGTCAGAAATATAAAGATTCCGCTTATGAGATTGTTAATTATATCATGCTTTTGAGGAAGTGTTTTGTTAACGTTTTTAGTGGAATCAACTGTTACTGGAATTCGACTTACAGTAATTGATCATCTGAATGATTATACAGCTTATGTAATACAATAAGGTTATAGTTTGATAAAACAATAGGAAGTTGCTTGTGATAATTAAGTGAAATAGACTAAGAAGGACAAGCGAATTTGTCAAAATCATTTCAGATTATGGGTGTATCTACAGTATGGAATTAGATTATATGGGGTGGGATGCCTACAAATTTGTGCTTCCCGAATCGGATCACGGTTGTTCTAGAGATATCACTTTCTTCTTTTGAACACGCAACCCGCATTGTTTGATCCTGATTGCTACTACTTCTGCAGTTTGAAGAGTCTCGAGCCGAGTACCTTTTGACAAGCTGGTGGGAACCCGGTACAGAATGGAAAACGATTCATTCATTTCAATCTTATGGTCCATTTCAACCAAGCTTGCTAATATGGGGCTGGTAATGGTCTTTTCCATGCTTGCACTCAACCACGTTGGGAGATGTTCTCGAACACGGAAAATTGAATTCCTAGAGCAGTGGTCGATGTAACTTGCTCCACAGGAGCAATCGAACGATAAACACAACAGGAAGTGGCTAGTCTGGGTAATTCATGTTTCAGTTTTAGTCTCACCATTGGGAGTGTGGAAGACGAAATTTATAATTTACCAACATTGAAAATTCTCTGAATTGATTGATCAGTGTAGTTTGTGAATTAATATCTCGCTGAGCACGTTGCCTCTGAACTGTACCCTAATGTATAGCGGTTTTCTACGAGGCTTTGGAATACCCTATCTTGCCATTTTTATAATCATAGGTTTCCTTATGAATTTCTGAGTATAGGCATCTTCAATTAGTGTGTTAGCCAAGGTCGTCAGTTCCTCCTCACTTGTATCTTCCAAGCATTTATTCTGTAAGTTAAAGTTTTGACTAAATTTATTTTGTACTGAATGGGGAAGGAGCTGAGAAAATGTATGTATTCTTTCCACGTATTTTTTCTAAATAAATCCCTCTTAATCGACTCATCTATTCGTATGAGAGGAGAACATCGAGAAGAACCATTTTGCCTTGTAACTCTTCCCCACATGTATACTTCATCGCCGAGTGTACTGCGTTGAATCTGCTGATTATCTTTGACCTGTCCATGATGGTTTCTCAGAGAATGAATATGTCATCCTAGTTACTACATATATGGTCTCTCAGTTCTTCGGAGAATAAAAAAAGCGATAAGTCAACAGATGTATTGCAACGGTAAAGCATATATATATATATATATATATATATATATATATATATATATATATATATATTAGAGAGGGAGAGAGAAAGGATGGCTATTCCCAGAACTTTACAGAGGGATATTCCCTATTGATTTCGATTCGTCAACCAGTTTGATACTTGCGTTTTCTGGAGACTTTGAGGCAAAATGATTGGTCTTGAAAAACTTCAGGGATTTAGGGCTTCTTACAAGGATCTGATAAATGTTATTGCACACACTGATACTTACCTATGTACAGAAACATACACTTAATGAATAGGAATGTAGGTTTTCTCACCTATCCTTTAGTAAACACTAAATCAGTAATTACTTTGAAAGTATTAGTCAATAGAGTAATTAAAACCATACTCTTTGTCTTGTTACTGATGAAGAAAGATATGAACATTTTAATAAATCGAAACTCTTCCATTATTGTTGATTATTATCATTACTGTTATTATTTTTTATCTTTGTTATTCAGAAACGTGGATGGATTGTACCTCCTTTTGACAACAATCCCTGGTGGACATCTATTGTTGCCCTTGGACCATCTCTACTCGCTGTGATTTTAATATTTATGGATCAGCAAATTACAGCTGTCATTGTTAATCGACGTGAACATAAATTGAAGGTAGTGTGTGCTTTGTACTTGTCTGCTTATTTATTATTTCATATGGAGGGGAGGGGGGGGATTGGTATAATAATTCAGTTTTGTAGGTTTTCTGGATTGATTGATTTCAACGTAGTATTCCCCACAGACGGATATCAGTTAACAAACCGTTGAAAAGCTTAGGAACTGAATAACTGTTTTGTTTTAGTAGTGTACACTCATGATCTCTACCCTCCGGGTGATCGAACTCAGGACGTTAAGTTCTCGTGGTGAGCACGTAATCATTGAGCTACTAGAAACTGCGGACTATCGAATTCCGACACAGTGACTGAATGGCAACATGCTTACCACGAGATCTGAAGGTCCTGGCAGGATCATGGGTGAGTACTGCTGAGAAGTCGCGTACTAGGATGAAACAGCTGTCAAGTACTTCTAGGTTTACAATGGTTCCACAACTGATGTGTCAGTTCGTGATGAATACTACGTTGTTGTATTAGTTGTCTATCTTTAAAAAAAGTTACTCAAGAGAATCTTTCTACTCATATCTGTTTATATGCCTTAGATTTTCAGGATTTATTAACTTGCGAGATATTTGAAAGTAATTAGCACAGAACACTGAACTTTGGCATTCTGCTTCTTTATATTGGAAAGGCATATCTTCAATCTTGAGGAATTTTCTTGCTTTGTTTGACTTGTTGCACCACTGGACACTATCTGTCGCCAGAGAAGTAACGACCAGAACTTTCCTGATTACATTGCACTTAGAACTTCAGCACTACATCAATTATCAGACTGTACAACCAAATTCATCTGCTCACTATCAGGTGGTCTTGAAATAATATACAACTGTGTTACTCAAATTAAATTCAGATGGAAGTGCTTTGGCGTTAAGAAGGTGATTTATCCGCTGATAGGTTGCATATATACATTAGTAACTTGGCTGTTATTGCTTACAGGGTAAACTGTAGTGCTTCCTAGTTGTTCGTCTAATAGCTAAGAATGAGTAGTAATTGCACCTCATCGTCTACTTTAGACAACATCTCTGAGGAAATTAAAAGTAAGCCAAACGGCTACGGTAATGTGACTGACCGCTTTCAGCGTACTGGTCATATGTTATGCAACAGCTGAAGAACTAAGCTTAGGGTGAGAGTAATGACCTACTTTTATGATTCAAGGTTAAGGGCTTGGTACAACGAAATACTCTACGCTCGGACGGATACTCAATAAGGCACTTAAGTAACTCATATCTGAATTTCAACTGAGCCACTAGTAACTAAAAAGGAAGACAAAATAAGTATGAATTGAACGCACTAATACCGCTTCGGACTGACTTTGTGCTGGATAAAATCTCATATATACGATTTTCATAGATAACCTTGTAGATCAGCCATTTTAAGGAGTGGGTTTCCAGAGACAAATTTGGAATCCTGTGGAAATTCAAATTTCCTAAGACTTTATGATTAAAACTATTAAGCTTTTTGACCTTTCTGAGGTGAATTCTTGAGAAATCTTCGTAATGACTGAGAAAGTGTCATATATGTCTAACTAACAACTATCTCATTGTTCACTGCACGTTGTGAATAGCACAGAAGATGCTTCTAGAAGTAGTTCAAAGAAAGGATTACACCAGAAGTGTAGATAGCTAAGTTCTAGTTTGGTTATATTTTGTAAAATTATAGGCCTATTGGCTTAACTTCATGTTATATCAGATATCCAAAGTCAAAATTGTCAGATAGTATGCTCTAACACTGAGTGGGATTAGCCTAAATCCGTTCACATCTTCTCTTCCTTTAGCAATTATGCATGCTATCTTATTCTTGTCATATGTATTTCTTCGTTCTTCCTCTGATGAATCTACCTTGCCGATATGGTTCATCGTTCTAGGCACTCCACTTCTAGCCAGTGAGTTACAAATTCGATCACCGTTCAGTCAAGTAGTTCTAGTAGTCTTTACTTAATACCCACCTCACGAACATGCACATGGTTGATGAATGGGTGTTGTTTTCATCAATGACAAACAGTATCCATATATGGTGTTATTGCTTGCATTATACCATCGTTGATTGACCGAATTCATTGGTCTTTATCGGCACATGGGCTCCTGTGCAGACGCCTCCATATTCCCTGTGTTTCTAATTCTATAGTAATGATGGCTAGTGGCTAGTAGTGGAGTCCAAGGTGCGCATTTCGTCCTATTTGTGACTTGTCATCTGAGTGTACCTGTCTCGCAGTTAGTGATGTTGTTCCCACCTGGATTTGAACTCCAGACTATCCATAATTACCATATAATTAAAAACAGGCAGTATCGAGGCATCCACACAGGAGCCTATATGCTGATCGAGACCGATCAATTCGGCCCAATCAACGACGGTACAATACAAGCAATAACACTAAAACTATACCCATCGCACAAGAAATGTCTGTTATGGCTCGGTGGTGTAGTGGATAACGCCCTGTTGTTTGAAACGATCGATCCGAGTTCGAATCCCAGTGGGAACAGCATCTTTCACTGGGAGGCAAATACACCCAGCCGACGAGTTCCGAATAGGACGAAAGGCGCGTCAAGCTGAATTCCACTGTTAGCCACTATCCGTCATTACTGTTTAATATCCATATATCTTTGGAAAAGTGAAGTAATTTCTCAATCATTGATTGAATTCATAGTATTATGCAATAGATGGGTATTTATGTCATAACTTATCGGGAGTTTGACACGAAAGAGAATATAATGCACTTTCAGTAAGAAAAGAAGCTTCAGAATTTACTTCACCTACCACCCAGTGGTAAACCAAAATCTATGTCGTATACCAACACCTAAGGGTATACAGTTACTAATTGTTGTATATATACCGCATTAAATATGCTATGAGATATGCTGTTTATATGTAAAGGTAAATTTCACTTGTAGGGGATTTTTTTGCATAAGAGCTAGATGTCATAACGTTTTCTTCTTTGTCAGGTGCAATAATTAATTAGCCGACTAATAAACAATAAGGAAATTATTTCATTTTATTAATTATAAATCCACTCCACCGTAGTTGAGGTGTCGAATGGAATAGAATAGAAAGCCAAAGTTAAGATGGGGGTGGAGGATTGGCAGGTCAACAACAAAAACTGACAAGTAGATAGACAACAAGGGAATCAATGTTTATGAAGTTGACTCATGTGACAAGTTGTCATGATTAAGGCTTGACATTATCTAGCCTACAGATAGTGATCATGGTGAAAAGTTTGTGTGTTATTTGACAGCGGTAGGCCATCCCGTTGGAACATAAGTGTGTAGGAACGCGCCAATGACCGTAACTGACTGTACGCAATAAATGCGAAAATTAGAGTGCAAAACAATCTGAAAATGACTGATTGAGCGAAGAAATATATTTCTTTTCAATTAGGTCTTCATCTTGGGCCCTACATTAATACATAGGGTTTACAATTCAATCAAATTACCAATCACGTGGTTTTTCGGAAATAATGATGTAAATAATCAAGAGTTACTAAAAGAGGAAATATGAATATTGATAGAAACAAGAAGGAGAAAAGGTGCACAAAATAAACCTAGAAGTTACATCATGTTGACGGCCACGGTTAATGAAAGTGGTCGAACAAACTTCTTTTGGATACAAAGGTTAGGTTTGTAAAGGTGGATTGCAATCGCCTCTGCTATGTGAAGTAACCGAGTCTTTTTCTAAATGTCTAAATGGGTATATTCAATGTATTGAAATCTGATAATGGTTTGAATAAGGTTACACAATTAGTATTCTTAGAAGTTAAGAAGAATACTTACTCCTCTGACAGGCGTTAAATGGTTGGAGGCAACAGTAAGGAAGTCCTTTTCAACACGTAAGAGTGACGTCCCCTCTGAGACTCTGACTCCCACTACCTAGTATTTCAGTCAGCTACGTTACTCCTGAGCTATTAGAGCAGTGATTGCCCTCCTACAGGACTGGATTACTTAGATTGATCGGTAACTGGAAAGCAACCAATGTTATGTTGCCTAGTCTTGAGTGATCACATGATCGATGAAATTTGGTCAACAGTCATTAAATTGGTTTTTCTTCGGTGGCCAATCAATGTATTTATTCCTCTGTCTGGAAATATATTTATTGAAACAGTACTCATGAAACTATTTGGTCAACTTTGGGTGCAAAAATGAAGTAGTCGATGTTAGCTACGTAACGGGTCGTATCTTCTCAGTCTACTTTTGATAGATACTAGGATGAGATGGCATTTTAATGCTTTGTATATGACACGTTAAACAATGAACTTATATGGTCTTGTCAGAGACTGATCAATTATTTCTCCTCTCCAGTTTTGCTCGTTGTGGATGTGGTGATGAAAGCCTGTCTAACGAGGTAGTTTGATGAGAATGACTAGTGGGTAGTTACATATAAGTGCAGGATAGTGCCCAAAACTGTCAAGTCTCTTAGCAAGCACATTACCTATTAAACTACTGCTTTGAAATCCAATACTTTTCTTACGTTTTCTCACGTCGATGAGTTTGCAATATAGTGCGTCATCAACCAGTATCATTGGTCCATTGAGGCGGAATCGCAAAGTGGTGTAAAACTGCTGTCCAATAGTAATGGATTTACGTTGATTCTCAAACTGATGTCAGTCTACGGTAAAAACTACTTTGAAGTCAATCAGTACCTACAAACTACCAATGGAAAAACCATACGTGTTTTATAAATTAATAGGAATTCTCATTCATTTATATTTCTTGTATAACACACACACTCGATTGATGCCGTTTCAAATTAGGCATTCTCTAGACTGAGCTCTTTGACTTCACTCTCAACATTCGTTGTTCACTTCAACAGTAAACTCTAATTTCTCAGTGAGCATGGATGGTCAAACAATCAGCCTATTACTGTTGACCAACTAGTCGTAAAAAACCATACTAAGGGGAGAAAAAACGTCCGTGTTACTGAAATTTACTGATAATACTTAGTCTATTGAAGTTGCTTACTTAATTTTAAGTTAGTTTTCATCGTTGAATGACATCGGTTACAGGAACACGAAACCTGGGAGCACTGGATAACTGATTCGTCCTACTATAGAACTCCTCAGCACCCTTGACCTCACCAGGGACCGAACCGAGGACCTTCAAGTTCTGCAGCCAGCACGTTAACATTGAGCAACTGGATCGGAATCCAATGGTCCATATTTCTAACTTCTGTCAGTTCAAGATATAGCCTGACCATCACCCAATATCATCTTTGAGTATTTGTCCTTACATCCACTCGGCTCGCTACACCAGAAATCAGTAAATCCCCACAAACCTCAAATTGAATTATTCTGGCGCTCAACGGTGACTAGATTTCAGAGGTGATTCCTGAAGTTCCAATGAGAAGTCGTGACCGGTAGGTTGGACTTGGTGGCTGTGAGGACAATCACTCAATGATGACATTAGGTGATGGTCGCGCTGTGTCGTGTACTGATGGAAGTGGCTCAATGGTAACGTGCTGGCTGCGAAACCCCAAGATCTTTGGCTCGATCCCTAGCGCGGTGAGGCCATGGATGCGCACTTCTGAGGAGTCATATACTACGACGAAACAGCTATCCAGTGCTCCCAGGTTTTCAATGTTCCTTCAGCTGATGTCAGTCCATGTTGAATACCAACTTAAAATCAATAAATCCTCACAAACTCCTAAATTGCTTGCTTAGTCTTTACATCGAAGTAGTGATCGTCCATTGGCTTGTTTCCGACACAATTCCCTTGAGGTTATGCAGATACATCCTGTTAACGAGTTCTAACAAGTAAGAAGCCCAAGTTAAACAGGGCTATCTGCAGGTTATAATTAATTAGACAGACAGAGATATAAACAGACTGACGCAGAAGTGCATCACTCCAAGTTGACACATTTTACAGTACCATGCAACGGAGAAATGTAGAGAAGAAGAATGACGTTAAAAGTATACAATATCCGATGAGAGAAGAGGGGATAAAAAAATGAAGGTTTATGCAAACGTCCAATACTTCTAAGTTGATAATAAGTGAGTACGTCTGCTCTATTACAAGTCATTTTTAATCCTATCACTAGGAATCTGAAACCATTGATTTCTTTTGTCTTGATTATTTAATTCAGACAACTTGCATTTTTTGATATGGCTTATATCAATGGACTTGTGCCACTCCTTGATTCAGCCACATTTAACCTTCTTCCAATCCCCTTAATAAAACGTGCGAATGTACCCGTAGGAGAAAGGAGGATGAGCAACTGTTTTGGAGTTAGGCGTAGTAATGGTAGTAGTAGTAATAATACGGTTAGGTAAGAGCCACCCAGCTCTATTATAATAAACCATAGTGTTTGGTCATACTATTTTCGGTCACATATTGGTCTATGTGATTTGCACATTAGAAAACCGAATGCGATCTACGGCACAAGATGGTCGGTACATGTTCACATTTTTGCTATCATATAATTGTCTTTCTTGTAACTACTTTTCCAAATCATGTTGATATACGTGTTCCTCATGCATGCAAAAATTGAAGCCCTACGTATACTAGCGGTTCGGTTTTTAACCCTTACACAATTGTCTCACCTACTTGTCATTCTATTCATAAGACTGTCATACTAAGAGCGTGGAGCTGTGGCTACGAAATATTTTGCAGTCAGTTTGAGTGTATTTTATCTGCTTTGACGTGGAGAGAAGAATATCAGATAAATCTATACATATTAAGCCAGTGTGTTACCTCGGAACACAAATTTCTACACGCTGGATATTACTTTTATTATTATTGACTCTTTGATTAGTACTGATGAATATTATCCAGCAGTGGAGTCTAAGACACACGTTTCGCCTTATTCAGGACTCATCACTCGTATGTGCCTGCCTCTGTGTGTGTGATGTTGTTTATATTCTGGCTACTAGCTACCTCTCGTTATTAATATGGGGCTGAAATTAACAACTATCGAGGCATCCGCCTGGTCAACTCGATTTAGGTCAATCGACGATAGTAAAATATTAGCTATACTATCATCAACTACTTCGATACAGAAAGGGTATAAAGGCATGCAAGCTACTGCCACGCATTCGGAACCGAATCCCCTCTAACCTGTAATCATCAATTTCAGTTGGCTTGTTGTATACCCCCAACCATAAAGCTTATATTTTCTTGGAATGGTTAGAGCAACAGTTGGGTAGTAGATGAATTGTTGCAATGTCTTGGTCTGACTCCCCCCCCCTTAGCTTACCTCCAACTCAATCCTATCCAAGCTAACACTGAATGTCGGAAGTAGATCTTAGGTAAGCATGCAGTAATTACATACGAATGCTGGTAGTATTGGATTACAGAAGATGCTTATTATAATTTTTCAAGGAAGAATTTTAAACATTTATCTTTGCTTTTGATACTTCCTACTCATCTCTTAACTTAGTGTCACATATTGGCATGAGCATTTAAGTACAAATATATACAGTAGAGTTGTTGTTACTAGCCTTATGTCAAAATTTATAAACAGAGGTAAGTTAAAGCATGGCATCAGCTCAAGTATCCACACTTCGCAATATTATACAACGAAGAAGTGCAGAGAAAAGGAATGACATTAAAGTCGATGAAGGTTCATGGAAATGTCCAAGACTGTAAAGGTGATAATGAGTGTATACCTCTGGACGCTTGTGATTGCTTTTGAGACATAAAACTGTGAATCTTCAATCCTTGGTTTCTGTCATCTCCAAAACCCGAGTCAGACAGTATTCATCTCCCTATATGACTCATCTAGGGAATTCATGAACTGATGCTACGTCTTAGTTTGTTCACCCTCAGCCTTCTTGGGACCTAACCCTATTTTGGCTAGCATCGCGTGTCCCGGTAGGCGGTGACTTGGTATGCATAACACATGTGCAATATCTGAGTCGGTGAACCTTCAGAACCTCATTGGTTTGGATCACTCTCGTCTCTTAGTAGTACTCTACATCTGACCTTGACTTCACTTGAACATTGACTCCAGCCCCAGGAAGCAATACTGCGAGGACACATACGGTCATGTCTTGTGCTTTCAAAAACCACTTCTCGTAGCTGCATAAGAGGTGAGGGTGAACTGGAATACAATATACTCGCCCTTTGATATGTAGTCAGTTAATGAATTTATAAAATATGAACGGAAGAATTACAGTTTAATGGACTAATACTTTTGACCATCACCGTTGGTTAGTTGGTTACTGGATAAACCAAATGATTGTTTACCATATCCACAACAGTTTCATCTTGCTAACGACAGACACCTCATGAATCAGTATGAGAAAAGTGCTCACCTACTATTCATGTTTGTCATGTGAATGAATTCGGAATTGAAATATTTGTAAATCTGCTTGTTTAATGCAAGATGCACACTAGGTGGTTGATGGCAACTGACAGGAACCCATAAATCTGGCACATAAAATTGGTTACTCTTCAATTGATAAATCAATGCGTACATGATACGGTGTACAGATTATGTAATGATATGTATGCTTATCGAATTCTGGGAAATAAGGTGATTGATTGTGTGGTCAACTAAAAAGATCAGTGGTAGTTTCTTTAACTGGTCTGTTAAAGGACATAAGTGTGTGTGGGTGTATGTACTAGATGTCAGAAATCTATCACCAAGACGTCTTACTGTAGACGTAGGTTCTGCGTTTTTTAGCAGTCATGAAATGGTCGTATCCAAAAATTATCGGAAGTTTGTTTCCTTCAAGATTCGACACCGTGACATTCAGGTACGATAGTAGTGCAGAGGTGACACTCCGTAATTGAAACTCACAGTGGTCACTGTTATTTAAAATGGCGCCAGAACTTGCAGCGCTTGTTATTAAAATTGATTTTTTGAAATGTAGTTGCATTTTTGTAATGCATCCATCTGTATTGTTTTCTCTTATACTACTTTCAGAAAGGAGCGGGTTATCACTTAGATCTACTTGTTGTTTCACTGACGATATTAAGCAATTCACTATTGGGGATTCCATGGTTTGTTGCAGCTACTGTTCTTTCAATCAATCATGTTTTATCGCTGAAAAAAGAATCAGAGACAAATGCTCCTGGTGAACGACCAGTTTATTTAGGTTGTAGGTAAGCTTAAATGTGTATGTATATGTTGTATGTGCGTGTGTGTGTGTATATAAATGAGTGAATGAGTGAACATCTCCATCTCATTTGTATTCTCCTGATTCATCTCCGTCCATTCTTGTCAGCTATCTCATGTTGTATACTCTTGTAAAATTAAACAACCATAAACGATTCGCTGGTGCTATTATGTTAAATTCCACATTCATTTTTACATACCTTTGGGCCTATCTCATCAGTAGTATAGGTAGTCCCCCCCTCCTTGGAATAATCACCTTATTATTTCGAGCCTTATTCACTTGTTTATAGTTCAATCTATTCTAAGTACAACAAGTTAAACTGATTTCCCATCGTTTGTTATCAGATTATTTTATGTGTTTTTTTAATTTATTGTGTTGCATAATTTCCAAGTTGACCTAGTACACCCTGGAATAAGAAGCGATAACACATGGTAGATTTCCGTGATAGCACTCACCTACCCATTACATCTAGGATGAGAGGAAATAAATGAACAAAAACTAATAAGTATGTATTCATAGTAGCTGTTATATGCTACGTCAAGCAGTAACCGATAACGGTTAGACTGGAATGATCAATGAAGTACACCAGTCTGACGGTACTACCTCTTATTCCCATACACTACTTAGTACCTTTTTCACTTATCAGTAATTCCCTACCTCTATCCTTGAAGACTTCAGGTGGCAAAATGTCAGGTTCCGCTGCTTCGCATCGTTTTAGTTTTGCAATAGCCTTCTCAACTTCAGAGAGAGTTGGTGGACCAACATCTATGCCTCATTCAGGTTCAGGCTGGATGTTGGGCAACTGAAGCGTTGCTGAAGGCCAGTTAAACTGTGCTTCAAAGTCTTCTGCCCGACGTTTTAGCCGCTGGTTCTGAGAGGTTATCAGCATTCCATCCTTTTGAGTGATGGTTTTATTCACCATCGTCTTCTTTTTTCCGGTATCCTTAGTAAGCCTAAATATTTGCCAGGTGTTACCCAATGTTGATACCTTCTGCATCTCCCTCGCTTTCGCTACCCACCACTGCTAGCGATCGACGCGAAGACTCTTGGTCAACTTACGTTTGAGTTGCTTTCGATCTTCGTCGTGGACAGAGCCCACTGGAATCAGTCTTCTCGCATCAATCGTTTCGGATAACGTCACAGAAGTTCACAGACGTCTGTTAACCAGTTGTCTACTACCGTCACGTTCAGATTAGCGGTTAGCTAAATCCTCCTTCACCTTCCATTCCAGAGTAAATAGGCTTTACTGTCACCCATTTTCTGCGACCAGTAAGGTACAGACATACACGAGCCCATACTAGCGCGTGATCGAAGTCTAAACTGGATTTCCAGAAAGAGCAGCAACCCTTCACCAATCCGCTGCGGCGCTGGCTTTTAGTGTCTCTCTGTATGCTTAAAGTTAAGGCTGGTCAGAAACAAGTGATTCTTGAGGCAAAATTACAAGAGACGATCACCGTTGTTAGTTTGATGGTATGGGATTCGGTAAATAGATCTAAAATGCCTTTCCGACTAACTCAACTTCCCTAATTGAGCGTTAAAATTACCTGTCACTAGGACTATATATGAACGTTTTGGTTTTTGTAGCATACTTGACAGCTTTTCATAGAACTCATCCTTTTACATCATATGAACTGCAGTTGGTGGGTGCGTAGGTAGGGATTACGAGTAGAAATTGGTTAGTCTTACGATCCTTTCCAGTTTTTCACATCCATTCAGTCGAATAGCATATAGGCGACTGTTGACTGGTATCCATCCAGTCGAGAAGTGCTTTTTCCGCTCTACAGCTGAGTGCTATGTCAGCCGGTCTATCAAGTCTCCGAATACTTTTAAGGTGAATTCTGAAGAATCACCGCACTGGTCGGGTGAAGTTAACTTAATAACCACTATTGAGTCCTATATACATGTCTCAGATACAGCATTTATATATGGCCCGAAATTTTAGAGTTTTGGCAAGCGATGCGTGCTATCCTATTTGGTGTAGCGTTCGGTCATCTAAGGATCTAATGCGAAATTGACTGTAGGTCTCAGGAGACTAAGGGTGAAGGTTCAGTGGCTCGTATCATTATCAATGGCCACAGAGTGAGAGGTTGACGAAGTTGTAAGAGGCCTAATATTCGTGAACACAAAGAAGGAGACAGAGGTAAGGAGGACAGGTCATGTTTCATAATGTCAACACTTTCCTGCTGCTCACTCTGTAGAATGCTTATTCTTTCTGACGTACCCAGAAAAAGAAAGTTAGTGTGTTACCGCAGAGCCTAAGAGATATCTGCTGGAGGCCTGTCACACACCCGCTTTTTGGAAGTTTGAGACAACGAATCCATATCGCTGGCTTGAGTATGCTGTGGCTTATAGGGGAGCATGCTATTTTAAAGACCGACCTTTTCTAGCTTCTCTTTCTTATAGGGAAGGTTACATCAACGTGGTACTACTGGTTATCCAAAAGTAACACCTTACTTCTATCACATGCCTGTTCAGCTAGCAGTACAATTTTGCCTTCGAACCACTGTCATAGCGCAACATTTTATACAACAACGATAACTGCTTTTTGTCTAGCCATTATGCAACAAACCTTTGTAGTATGTTAGGACCCCGAGGGAGCTAACGTATCGTCATCATAACTTGTTGAGTCATTGTGATAGGCACGCGCAACCACCACATCAAGGTAGCAGCTATTGGTCAAAGTAACTTGAGATGATGCACTTTTATGTAAAGTTTTACGCTGATTTGTCTATTTGACAATTTTCAACCACAGGAGATTGACAACGCAATAAATAGTTATCTCATCGACTTTCTAGTTGATGATAGTCCATAATGAAAACTATCCTTTAACTATTCGACTCTTTACAGTTCATTGAATGACTTTTGTTAGTCCTGAACCAACTTATGTAACGTATATATGTATATATTATTCTAAATATTTGGACCTTCAAAATGTTGCCTTCAATAAGTTGGATCATTTCATTATCACTTTTCTTCCCTTCGTTATTGTTTTAGAGAACAACGTGTTACCGGGGTATTGATTTTCTTGTTTATTGGTTTGTCTGTATTCATGACTCCGCTTTTATCAGTAAGTGTTGTGACATTTTTTTATACTTTGTTGGAACAAATATTTCAATGGTCTTCTTATCACAGATTGACGTTAGTTGGAGAAGTGTTAGATCTCTAGGACCACTGGATACGTGTTTTGTCGTTGTATGCAACTCATTAGGAGTGTGCATCCACAATCCCGCAGGGAATGAGTCCAGAACCGTCATGTTTCCGTCTAGACACTGGATTGCAATCCGATAGTTTACAACTTAGGGCTTCGAGAAGTCCATCTGAAAGCAAGTGACTAGTAAGCACCCAACTGTTATCGAATTCTTCACAAACCTTCAAATTGTTGAACAAATATTTGTGTTAGGTAACGATTACCTTAATTAAAGTTTGCTTCGGATACAATGACCGTCTAGAAATATTGAACATCCCTCTGGATTGATTACCAGTGAAGATTGAGTGCCCATTCAGAGTAACCTGTAAAATGCTGTTAAAGAAACTTAAGTAAGAAGAAGTCACTGCATCTTCATGTGCTTTCTTCAGCGACCTCTGAGATTAAGTGAACTAATTTCGCTCTCGAGTCTGATATATGGTTTATGCATATTATCCCGTCGGAACAATATCAAATAGTGACTTTAAAAATCTCAAAAAAATAAATATGACAGTTCTACGTTCTGTACAGCCTTGCAAAACTTCTTTCTTTAATATAACCGCCTAACTTATCTTAACTGTACATCCACCTGTACAATCCATAGAAACTTATAGATTGAGTTGAAAAAAGACTTAAGGTGGCCAGAGTATGATGTGGCATCATCCCATGAAATCTTCAACTATTCGCCTGAGTTGTGCAGAAACGGGTAGCCTGCCACACTAGTCTGCAAGGTAGTAGGAATTGATAGTTAAGGATTCTTAGCGACGTATCCGGTATGTCACCACCGTTCAGATGGATTCACTCTTTGACATCTTCTAAAGCTTGAATATTCTTCCTAATTTTCATTCTCAGAGTCTTTCTCCTCCTGTGTACCTGTGTCCACTCTGATGATATAACTTTTTCTCTACCCACTTAATCTTTGCATGTCATCATAAAGTGTGACAACTTGAATCTATTCACTTTCTTGTTTATTGATGTTATCTGTCTATCTATCTGTTTCACATTGAAACTCTTTGACGAAATGTGCCACTTTATCTCGTTTTTTTTTCTGGAAGCTCAGAGACTAGCTGGGACTCAGTACTACTCATATGGCATAATCATAAACCAATACTCATTTATCTAGGATTTCTGTATCCAAGTTGAATTTTACAAATTGCAGCTGTCAATTAGCATTTATCTTTTGATTGATACTAAAGAACTAACCTACTAAGCTCATTTAGTGTTATGTGGTCATGATAGACAGGCAGACGGGCTAACTTAGATCGTCGATTCAAGTTGCTGTACTTCCCAAGTACAGTGTACATGGAAATGATGGACAGAGAAAGTGACAATTAGATTGACAAATGTGTATGACTTGACAGAATAAAAAGATGAAATTTCATCAAAGTTTTTAGGTGACAAAGAGTGTACACATCTGCACCATTGCTACTGATTTTGATGCATGTCACCAAGATTCTTCACCCGTTGATTCTTATCACACCTCCAGGACCACTTCTATAGTCAAGCTGCCTGCATCTGTTTACATAGGTGAAACCTGATAGTCTGGTCCAATGTCTAAATGGTCACGATACTAATTAGTATACCTAACAATTGGCAATATTCGGGCGACTTAAAAGGCCACCCTAACGATCGATAAAATAACCAATCAGGTTGCAGTGTTTAATCTGAAAAGACCATTTTTCATATATAGTAGAGAACCGTGATTGGTCGCCTCATCAGTTGCTAGGGTGGCCTTTAAAGTCAATCCAATAACCATCACGATGAAATTGATCATTCATAACATTTTGATGAGTGAATGAGATCACCCTGTTTTCCGTGTCTAAACCACCCCACGTACGTTTTTGACACTTCTGTTTATCCACACATAGCATTCAACTACATATTATTTCTGAATTTATTTTATGAGCATTGTTGAAATTTTATTCATTATTACTGTACAAACTTTGATAGTTTGAGTTAATTCAGTCTAGAATGAGTAATGACAGTGTAAAATGCCACTGAAGACAGTCTTCCTGCTTCAACATCAGTAGAGGCAACTGTAGATGTTCAATAGGCACATTTAATGCTACCATTGAAAGAGACAAAGGTAAGCAGAGACTTTTCATGATGGCAACTGACAGTTGTGAGTGCTTAGCAGTTCTATACTAAGACAAAACAGGTTTTTTTCAGTGGTTCTCCAATTACTCTCAATACACGAAAACTATCTTCATATTATAAAAAGAAAGTCTCTAGTTTACAGTATGAGTTGAGTAAGAAAATGTGTACGTTGATCAGTCTAGATGTTGATATTTATACCAAAGTTTCACGAAACTGCCAGCTGCCGAATGGTTAAAAAGCTTGCGAAGGATCTATGCTCCATATATACGTTGAAGGACATACATAGTCAGACTAGAATACGTATTCCAGCACACTAGTTTGTAATTTCTAGTGTTTAAAAAAAAACGTTTTTTTACGTTGCTATAATCTGAAGTTTATAAACTTTCTACCAACTGAGCTAGGTGGCCCGACTGCTGACCAGATTTTTATTTCACTTCAATCACCATGGGTTTTGCCCGACTACCATGTGAATTTGTGATGCGTTACTACCGCTTGGTCGTATTCACACTGGCTTCCCAGCCAGGACTTCTCATCCCAATGAAGAGGAGCATCACATTGATTATCATTTTGATTATCTGAGATAGCCTTAGTTTGGCAGACTAGTATTATTACTGGGTGATGATTGAAAGTGAAATGAAAATTTGGACCACGGTGGGATTTGTACCACCGACCACTAGGTATCCGGTTCAGTGCTCTACTAACTGAGCTATGAGACCCGACTACTGACCAGATTTTTATATCGATTTTAATCACCAAGGATTTTTCCCGATTATTTGGTCAGCAGTCGGGCCTCATACCTCAGTTGGTAGAGCACCGAGCAGGAATCCTAGGAGTTGCTGGTTTAAATCCCACTGCGACCTAAATTTTCATCTCCCCTTTATTTATCACTCACTATCAATAATAATCTGCTAAACCACGGCTATCTCGGATGATTATAAACTTCCATTAAAAGTTATCTTTGCGTTTAAACTTTTTTGTGCTTTGTGTTACTAGCGTATTCCAATGCCTGTATTATATGGAATCTTTTTATTCATGGGTATATCGTCTATGCACGGAATTCAAATGTTTCAACGTATCGGTTTGTTATTTATGCCAGTTAAATATCAACCAGACTATCCTTATTTAAGGTAAGCTATGGAAATTTGTATGTCATACTTTAGAATAGGCCTATTTTTGTTACTTTGATCAGTTGTTTTCTTTTGTCGAAAACTGTACTATGAGGCAGTCTTCTTCGTGGGTCGATATCAATCCTTGAGAGAATCGGGAAAGAGGGCACTGGTACTGGTGCATGTCTATACTCGGTAAGCCTTAAGAACTTATGGCTGAGACGTTACCATTCATTCAACCGATGGGGTTATCTCGAAATTAATGATCAGCATTTGTTGTTAATATCTATCAATGCATGATGTACCGCATTGTCAAATGACATCATCTTAGTGTTCTGAGATAACGTTATAACTCAAAACAAAATTCTGTAGATCGATACTCTTCTCAGTTGAACCGAGCTACACAGGTTTTTAGAAATTGATCGAATTTAAAACTTTTTGTCATACTCCACTACCAATGAAGTAACCACTTCATATACCGAATTTCTTACATGTCACTTAGATGAATGATTATTTCAGTACTCGAAGTTTTTCTCTGCTTGTCCAGGCATGAGTTTTTGAACGGTGTTGAAGGTAAGTCAGTCATTGATAATTTTTAAAATACCTATACTACAGAAGATTACTCTACATGAGATAGTCGAGGGAAATTGCATGAACTCTGATGGTTCTAACGACTTTGGAGTATGACCAATGAGCCCAGAGAACATCTGCCGCATACCAGTGACACATGCTCTCTTGAAGGGTGTTGTTTCTTGTAAACTTGCGCGGATCCTTTCATTAGCCTTACCGTTTACCCTTGGTGTTGGAAAGTCCATAGGACAAGTTAGAATGCATAATTTGTAGGGCTAATCTTCTTAAACCTCTCTGGTGCTAACCTGCCAAGGCGAAACATCCTGCTACGGTCGGAATCCTTCCCTATCGACAATACGACTTCACCGTTTTAACAGTGTAATTTATGTACACAATGACAGCAGCTGTTGTTATTTACACCACTATACAACTAAATTTTCTCATATCACAGAATCTCAAAAGACAATCAGGACAAATTTAGGTTGAAATTCATGATGGACTGACATCAGTTGAAGGAATCTTGGAAACCTGAGAGCACTGAACAGCTGTTTTGTTCTAGTACAAGAATCCTCAGCAGTGCGCACCCATCACGCTGAGAAGTCAGCCCCATACTAGGAAGAGATAGCTGTCCAGTGCTCTCAAGTTTCCGATGTTCCTTCAACTGATGTGAGTCCATGATGAATTTTAACCAGAAATCAATTAATAAAACTCCAAAAACCGTCAGATGGAATCAGGATAATTCTTTTAGCGAACTAATTATCATCAAGATAACTGTTGTCAGTCCAGATGGAACAATCAATACAGAAAATAGGTCATGTAGCTCAGTCAACATCTACACCTAAACTTTACACGTTTACAAGCAGGTCTACACATTTCTTGAAAATAAGGTAACGTGAAAAATCCATCACATCCAGCAGACATCCATACACACAATGACGCAAAATGTTCCAATGACTTTGTAACGTACTTTATGCGTAGGAATGTGGCAATCAACTGTCTTCTGTGTAAGTGAATGATGTGAAAAAAATTATACCAAAATGAAATTGTAACGCGTGAATTTCTTTCTTCCAAATCTAGTTAGTCTAACACAATCATTAAAAATCTTGTTGTACATTTTAATGAGGCAAAATCGTTTTATCCTTCTTTCGATTCTGTTTTAGTTTCTCCTTATGTTCACTGGCGTATCTAGATATTCCCATATGCGCACACATTCTACCACACACACACGCACATTTGGATACACCTAATAGCATTTGTCCCCGATCGATTTTCATACTGATTTGTAAAATTTGGTAATTTTACGACTTTTCTCGCTTTCACATAAAGAAAATATTTTCTATACAACCTTTTAATCATCAATTTTGGTATATGCGTATGTATTGGTAAAGTTTAAATGGGGAAATATTGTAGATCAGCCTATTTGGTTACTAACTATTCAACTTGTTCGGCAGTAGTATCTTGTATATGCATTTATATGATATGTTCATCACATTGATTGGTCACAGGAGAGCAACCTATTTCATGTTGTCTAGTCCCGAGTGCAAACTGAATTCTGTCCATCATATTTACAAGGTGACCATCAAGCTAGCTGACTCAACATTGTGATGCGCTTTGATATATGTAAGTTGGATGGAGGCAGTCGACAGGAGGCCTTAGACCTAGAATTTGTGCTTGTTGGCACTTGTCAACAAGGCATATCTGCAACGTCGATGAGCATGTCCTCCTCATGGATCCCATGGTACTTACAAAAATAATCAAATGACTGTCATGTCGCCCATGACCTTTCTGTCTGACCTTAACAGTCAAGGAGAATGGTAATTTTGTAATGATACTTGTAATTTACCATTGCTATACATGCTGGTTTCCTCTACTAGTCAGCGGGATCAACATAGCATCATGAATATCCGGCAGTATCGAGGCATCCGCACAGGGAGAAGCCCATCTGCCAACAGAGGTCAAGCAATTCGACCCTGTATAGCAGCAGGAAATTACATATATCATTAAAACAACCGATACCCGTTGCACAAGAGGTGGCCACTATACCCCAGTGGTTAAGTAAATAACGCTCTGGCCCTTGAAGCGAAGGGTACTGGGTTAGAGCCTCAGTGGGAACAACATCACTCCTCTCTGGGGTAAAGGTACATACGGCTGACGAATCCTAAATAGGACGAAACATACATCTTGGATTCCTCTGCTAGCCGCAAACTAGTAAATCACCATAATAAATATTCAGGCAATATCGAGACATCCACATGATAGGTTACGATATTTTAAAAAGACAATGGACTATACGAAGAGGATTGGACACGGAGATTAAATACACATCTTTGGATTCATTTATTTATCCTTGATATCTTTATTTTTGATTGTTTCCCCTGAAGAAACTCAGAGACTGGACTTCCGTGCGAAACGAAGTTGGAGTTATTTTATTTCAAGCAGGCTGTGACTTACCCAAATACAAACTAGAAACCCTGCAAATACCTTTTACTCATTGATTGGCATAGAGTTTATATTGAACTCATGTCTGGATAGTTTCAGCTTGAAGATTGAATAGGTTCTATGGTTTTGTTGCACATGAGTTTGATACTGGATAATGATGAAATAGAAATCTTGGTGGTGGTAGGATTCGAACCAAATGGCCCTCAAGTTGCCGGCTCGTTACTCTACCACCTAAACTATAAGACTCATTTGCTTGTCAATATGAGTTTGTTGGTTTTTTCTTGCATGGGAAGTTCCAACTATTTTTCGACTCCATATATATATAGTGTGAAGTGATTTGACGTTTCGTTGATGAGAATAATAACAAAAGGGGGAAAAACAACAAGATGATAGAGAATGGCCACACCTTTTTTCCTCTAATGGTTACTGTTATTATTCTGGTTATTATGGCTTCAGCTTTCTTCATCCCTATTTACAACCCTGTTCATTTTGTCTTCTGTATCCTTTCTTTACACTTCCATAAATCTTGGGTGTGCATGTTAAGCAAAAGTTGCCACTTGGTTTTGAATTATTTCTTATATGTATATAATTATCGGTTTATGCATGTTGGTAAGATGTTGCACTACATAATGGTTGTGATACTCTGAATATATCACCTATGTGTACGATACAACAGTATTTCCACCAATAATCACTTATATGCTACTCTTAAATGTAATTAAAGATTACTTGGTTTGCTTGCTGTTCGTTTGTTGGTTCTAGATTTTTTTACTAGTAGGAGCTTCAGTTAACAAGGAGGATAACACAAAAGTGTTAACTTGTGTGACATGGGATCACAAAGAACACGATATTAGGCAAAATATGCATTTAATGTCAATGAAGTATATTTTTGACATGCATGCGGATTTTAATTTACAGATAATATTCAACACGGACTGGGATCAGTTGGAGAACCATTGAAAACTGCCTGGAAGAACTGGCTGGATAGCTGTTCCGTCCTAGTAAGTGACTCCTCAGCTGTACACACCCATGACCCGGCTAGACTTCAAACTCAGGCCCCTCAGGTTTCACGGCAAATGCGTTGACCATTTAGCCACTGGGTCAGAGTTCAGTGGTTCATAGTTTCCAATTTCTCTCAATTCGCAACATAGCACGACTATCATCCAAGGTCTTAAGTTGGCATCCCCTTTACTTCCAACTAGTTGATGACACAGGTGACGGCTTCTCATTAGAAGTTCGTGATATCCATCTGTAGGCGTATCACTAACGAGCACTATACAGTAATGTGGTTTGAGGTTGATTAGGATTTCAGTTTTGTGGTTAACACGTTCGTCGTGAAACCTGAAGATCGTGAATTCCATCCCTAGCCGGATCGTGAATGTCTGCTGCTGAGGTTTCCCATACTAGGATGAAACAGTTATTCAGGGCTCTCAGGTTTTCAATGGTTCCCCAACTGATGTCATTTCATGATGAATACTACCTCAAAATCAACTAATAACAAAAATAATTGTTATAAATCGTTTAATGTTGTTGCTTGTAAACCTGTCGCATAAGATTTGGCTACTGTGACTCGGTGGTCTAGTGGATAACGCTCTGGCGTTTGAAGCTATCCGTTCCGTGTTCGAGTCCTAGTGAGATAACATCACTCACTTGGAGACAGGTACATCCAGCTGAGGAGTCTGGAATAGGACGAAACGCGCGTCAAGCTGGATCCACTGTTAGCCACTACTCATCATTCATATTAACTGCTTACATTAGGCTAAATGTTGTAGTTTTTAATGTGTATATTATGATACATACTAGGTTCTGGATAGGCAGATCGATGTTGCTACAGTCGATACGCTGTTTTTGCGTTTTAAATGTGTCATATATATTAAAGTGAAACAAAATATTTCGCTTATTTTTCCAGTAGTTTATTTATCTCTACTCTCAGCTGGCGGATTATGCATAAGTAGTTGCAAGTTTTTCTTACCTTCATGTTTTGTTGTAAAGTAATTTTTAAAGCAAAGAAATTTTCTGTTTTGTCTAGTTCTGTTTGTATCATTAGCCAGAAGGTTTTTCTTTTCTTTTTTAAATTGACATTTCCAAGTTCTCTTGTAGTTTTAATAATGTATAATCAACCTGATTTAGATGAAGTACACTGCATAGTTAGTTAGTTTCATGCTAATTTTAGTGCTTATTATTTGGTTGACTGGGGGATGGGGACTGCGCCAGCGGGTGAGATTGATTGGGATTGAAAGACAAGAACTGGTATGGGTGCATATATCCGTGTATGTGTGTGTGTGAAACGAACTATGTTGATATTGTTTACTCTAAACATTTTCTGTAATTGATATAATGCATCAATAAAAAGTAATTGTGTTCATGAGTTACTATAAAATAACAACTCATAAATTTTACTTTGTCTTTCTATGCACATGTAAATGAAGCTAACCCCAGTAACTAAGTTCATTCAGCTCCTAGCAGATTATTAGTAAGACTATCTTGAAGAGTTCTTGGTTTTGCAGGCTGGAGGTAAAGACTAAAGCCGTAATCGAAATCGAAGCTGTGGCAGGATTCGAGCCACCAGCCTTTGGTTAAAAATTCCTTCTTATCAAAAGAAGGAGGAAAATGATGTCGTACATATTCTTATTTAAAATAGTATGCCTTATAAATTCTCTTTTTTTCCCAAAAATGTCAAGGCTCCCACCTTGTGCATGGTGTATTCTTCAGAAATTTCTGTTCCCATAAAAACTCCATGTTAGTCAAGTAATCCATCTTCGTTGATTTCAGATGGATATACATCATGGACTGACATTATTTGGAGTACAATTGGAAACCTAAGAGCTTGGGACAGCTGTTTCATCGTGGAGTGGGAATCCTCAGAAGTGCGCAGCGACGATCCCATCAGGGATTGATTTCAGAACCTACGGGTTCTGCGGCCAGCACATTACTGTTGAGCACCCAGTGGTCAACATTCCCTGTTTCTATCAATTCATGATGTAGCCCAACTTCCATTGAATGTCATCGTTGACTTACTGTCCACACGTCCGACTTTGTTGGCCCCACATGTTAGTCCACGACAAATGTTAACCTGAAATTAATAAAAACCTCCCTACAAACCTCCAAACTAAACTACTATTTAGTGCTCATAAGTGACAGGCTTCGAGATTGTGATTTCTAAAGCTATAATGAGAGGGTATGACCGGCAAACCCAGCCAAGTCGGACGTGAGTACAATTACTCAATGGCGTCAATGGATGAATAATGTGCTGTATCACGAACTGACAGAAGTAACAAAGTTTGGACCATTCTACTCAAACCTAGTGGCTCAAAAGTAACGTTCTGGTCGTAGAACCTTAAGGTTCTGAAATCGATCCTTGGCAGATCTATGGGTGCGCGCTGCTGAGGAGTCCCATACAAAGAAAAAACAGCTGTTCACTGCTCTTCGGTTTCTATTGTTTCTCCAACTAGTGTCATTCGATGATGAATATCCACCTGAAATCAATAAATAAATCCCCATAAACCTCCAAATCTATTCCCATGTTTTAGTGCTACACAAGCAATCACAGTCTGGGATATTAAAGACAAGCTTCTAAGCTATTTGTGGAGAAAAGTTTACAAAACTACCAAACATCCACATAAAGTATATTTCTTAAATAAACTAAGCTTTGGATTTTCTTATGTGTATACATTTGATCCTCAGTCAAAATGGAATGCATCGTAGTGCAGCACTTATCATGTGATGACTTGTGGAGTCACTCGGTTGCTCAACCTGAATTAAGTGGAACTTGGTTTCAACTCACGACACATTGGTTGAGATTGTTAAGTACTTGAACCAATGAACTACACGTCTATATAAGGACGTAATACATGTGGTCGTAACAGTTTAGTAAACGGAGCCCTTTAACTCAGCAACCACATGAAATTTTATTATTGACCAATAGGACACACTCGCTGTGTGAAAGCTGGTGACCCAAGTCTTTGTTGTTGGGGCGGAGTTCGAACCTGTTACCCAGTGGCTAGAAGTCAATTGCCTAAGATAGTGAGCCATAGAGCTATATGTCAAACTATCAATTCTTTTGTCCTTTATTTATTGATTTTTCTGACTTTAAATGCTTTTTCTCTACCTTCTTTCTCTCTTCTACAGACACGTTTCTCTACGTCGAGTTCATTTATTCACTGCTATACAAGTAACGTGTTTAGTCATGTTATGGGTTATTAAGTCGATTGATGTACTTGCTATTCTATTCCCAATTATGGTAAGTTTCAAATGCATTGACTTATTTTTATTAGCATTGTAATTACTTTTTAGTTAACTGTTTGTTTCAATATAATTCTGAATAAATATACTCTTCCACTTGGGTAGATTTTACTGTATGGTATAGAAAATTGAACCATGATGTTTTTCCGGTTTTTAGACGATGAAACATACCCATTGAGAAAAAAAAGAGATAATTCAGCGAAGAAAATTCTTTGTTGTTCAACTATATCATTTTCTAAAGCTGTACAACTGTATTTACATATATCACAAACATATAACAGTCTATTATTCAGTATTAGGGTATAACTGCATCACATTGGGCCAGCTAGAGCTAAAAGGAACCGAAATCAAGAATGGAAAGTAGTTGAATAATAATCCTTTAAACAGTGAGAATAGCGAGGAAGGCAAGGAGTGTGACAGGGTGGAAATTGTTGGTGGATTAGAAATGCGAATATTGACTGTTCACTTGATTGATAGATGTAAATAAGGTGAAGAATAAGACAAAGGTCATAATGAAGGTGATAATAATAAACTAACTATTTATAATGAAATCCAAAAAAGTGTGAAGTTGTTAAGACCATGATAAGATTAGATATTGAGGTTTGAATTGATGAATTGCCAGTGCCTCTGCTGTGCACAACTGTCAAAGACGTACTCCTTCTGAACTATTGCATTTCACTCTATAAATGATACTAAAGGAAGACTCTGGTTGAGCTATGTGTCCAGAGTTGACCAAATGTTCAAGAATTGAACTGTTTATTGATTTACATTCTCTCCTCGACAGCCGTGCAGGATAGTGCTCAAAAATACGTTTGGAAATTGAAAGCTTTTGATATCTATTTTGCATGAGAAAATAATTCTCATGCGAAATGGTTACCCATCCAAATTTATTGAGAATAACTTGAAATTAAAACAGAACACGGAGCAAGTACTCACAGTTGCAAAGAAGATCTTGTTTATGAAAGTTGTTTTCAAAGGCGATATGGCAGCACAGATCTTGGAGAAGTGGCTGTCCAGATCACTGAAGAAGACCTTCTCTGCGAAGCTACAGATAAGCTTCTCTAGTCAGCAATTGGTTCCGGAGTGCATTCGCCGCTTTAACCACCTCAATGTGCGTCTACAAATTTACTTGCTCCCGTGGAGCTAGTTATATAGGCCGCATAAAAATGGACACTTTCCTAACGCATATCTGAGAACTAACCTGGATGGGTGTCGAGGGGAGAATGTTAATCAATTCACAGTTCAATTTTTGAACATTTAGTCAACTTTGGACACAGCTCGACCAGAGTCCTCCTTCAGTGTCATTTATAGGAGTCAATTGGGGTAGAAAATAAAAAAGGAAATTTTTTTCTTTGAATTATCTCTTCTTTTCCGGTTTTTTCCTAAATGCTCAGAGTTATGCACTAATACTTGTGAGGTACCGATTTTGTTTTGCAAGTAGCTTATTATTTACATTTTTTCCTAGGTTTTTTTCAATATCAATATGGATCTTGTTTCTAGTGTAGTTGATGTTGCCTAGTAAGCTGCTTATCGTTTGACACTTTTAAAATAGACTTACTTCAGATTTGTTAACGAAACTTCAATATAATTGAGAGACTATTTGAGATATCCACTGCTTTCATCAACCGGTGCTTTTTGATACTGGGTGGTGTTTGGAGGTGAAATGAAAACCCTGATTCGTGGCAGGATATCATATTGCCTTCGTCGTTCGAGGGAGGTTAAAGTATTCCTTCTCTGCTGAGATGACCGTGTGTGTATGTGTGTGTGTGTGTGTGTGTGTGTGTGTGTGTGTGTGTGTGTGTGTGTTAGCATTCATCAGCAGCTAACAATCCCAAGGGAACTGATATCGTCTCGTCGATCTTAACCGACATCATCCAGTGCATCAATCAAAGTGCTTTGCGATACTGAATAGAATAAGACAACGATAAGATTAATTACTCTTCATGATTAGTCATTATATGTCATGCACTTCAACAGGAGGTTAGTTTAGGTCCAGATAGGTTAATGGTTAATGCTTCTAAATGAAGCCCTGAGTGACGCGGATTTGGATCTGTGAATGGGGAAATCAGCCTTCTTGATGCAGCACATACACCTTTCTGACAAGTGCCAACAAGCAAAAATCTTGACCAAGTAGGGTTACCAGTTGATTTCTTCCAACCCTTTAACATAGATCACACAGAGACTGAGGAACGATGGGAAGAAATGTGTAGCCTAGTTGACTGTTTTCGGTGCTCTTGCGTTGCTGAAAGTGAATGCTTTAATTGCCTAGCGTTAATGATAACATCAATAGCGTCAACTCCAAAAACCGAGTGATCTATAATTTTACTCCGTAAGTGACGAATCAGTCTATCCGAATATCTATGAGTGTAATTGTTTGGTTGATTGTTCATAAAAGTCTTGCTACCATCGTTCATGCGCGGTATGTCACCAAACCCCCTCCCTACTGATTGTTTTGTTATTCCGCTTTCTGATAATATTGATAGACGGGGTGTTTTATTATTCACTGATTGACTTGAATGTTAAGTAGAAGTCTAAAGATTGATTTTTCCTGTTTTCTTTGATTTTTATTCTTTGCACAACATTATCATAGTTTAGTTTGTATCGTTAGATGTCTATAACATATCGTATTGTTCAAGTATACTCAACACAGTTTTATCTTGAACTTGTCTTCTATAATTGTTATTATACCTTTGGATCTGCATAATATGATGTAACTGGTCGAATTATCTCGAAGACGTTTTCGTAGGTGATCAATGGTATACTCTCCCAGGATGATTTCGTGATAAAAATCTTTTAATGAAGATGGAATATGGTGATCACATTCATTATTAGTGGTAACTCGACTTGACTACTAGCCGACAAGTGTGATGCAGTTGAAAATCATCATAAATTATGCATTTATCCTGGTAAGATTCAAAGAATAAAAAGTTGAGAAGGAGGAGGAGGCGGCCGTGGTAGCCGAACTCGTGGGTCAACAAAACCAAGAAGTTGGATAGAACAAATATTTTCACAGCTGTTTCATGTAACAAGTTGTAATAGCCAACTTTTGATAGCCTTTCATATAATCTGTAGGTTTGTTGTTGTAAGCAAAGTGTAGAAATGTACGCCTAAATTCGTCAGTTTTAGTCCATTCAACCCACATAAGAATCTGCAAAGATGAAGAACCGGAACAAATGAACCGACTCATCAACTGTTTTGATTGCTTAGTAAGGCAGAAACTGGGCGGCAATTTAGTCTGTAAATGATCGCAAGCTGGTATTCGTCGCGAATTGATATCCGTTGTAGAACCACCAAGAACCTAGGAGCATTGGACAGCTATTTCGTTCTGGTATGGAGGATGGTTACACTAAACCGAAAACTGGCAGAAGTAAAAATATGGACCATTGGATGCTGACCCATCACCTCAATTGTAATGTGTTGGTAGTGGAACTTGAACGTCCTTAGTTCTACCTCTAATGGGGTCATTGATGCGTGCTGATAAGGAGTCCTATACTAAGGAAGACAGCTCTCTAGAACTCTCAGATTTCCTGTAGTTCTCCAAATGATACCACTCTGTGATGAATACCACTCTGAAATCAATTATGCGAACCCTAAAAACCTTGGAATTAAATCTGTAAATGAATTGAATAACGTTCAGTATACATTACACAGTCAGCACCTTATTTCAGTAAGATGGATTAAAACCTAATTTCCCTTACTGATAAACAGTTTACCAATTTAAAAAAAACACCATAATAGAAGAATACCTTTAGGTGAACTGAGTTGATTTCAACTGGTCAGACATCTCTCAGTTCATTCTCTTAGATGATAGAATATTGTGGATTGAAGAACGAAATTGCTATTCAAGATGAAGGATTTATACCTAATGACGAAAGAAATAAACTTGATGTAATTGTAATGCACTGAAAGAGGAATACTGAAAGACAGTTCAAAAGGCAAACAGGTACATACATTCACAAGACTTATCTACTGTTATTTCGTGTATTTTTTGATTATTGGCTTCAGTCGTGTAGGGGAGTGTAAACCTCCCCGTTAGGGTTCACTTAACTAACTATAATCTGTATTCGGAGACTCTCTAGATGCCTCAGAATCGATCTCGGTGCAGCCACATATTGTCTCTTCCCTATTAGTCGTCATATTGCATTCCGTTATTTTTCTTACCTCCTCCCTCTTTCTTTCTCTCATCGTATAACTTTCTACACTTTCCGACTAGTTTGTTGCATATTTCACTATTTTTCTTCTTGGCACCATGTGTGTGGCGATGTGGTGATCTTATCGTGTGGCAGCTTGAATCATCAAACTCCATGCTCATGTAAACTGTAAACTCATCATGATCACTATGTGTTAATCGACGTTCTATATATGTTATTCTAGTGTTAAGTGTTGATTTAAGTTCAAGTGGAAGTTTCAATTGAAAGGAAAAGGGGAACGTCTAACAGTTATGATATTGAATGTTCATATTTCACCTGTGAGTCGTGTATTTATTAAAATTAAAAGTTATCGATATTTTAAATAGACAACCTATCTAAATGTTCAGTGAAAAACGTGTATACTCAATCGAGTTCTACAGAATAACGCACTTGTAACTTAAATCTTTTGAATAAGGAGTACTTGTACACTTGAGGTTTCGGATGCATACACTTTGTGAATTCCAAGACTTACATCCACCAAGCATACCAACAGGACTGTTTATCGCTCACACAGAAATGCCCAATAAATTGATTCGCGAAATAATTAACATACTCGCAGAGTGGACCTCCACTACTAAATTTACGTAGGTTTCTGTGTTCTCTCCACCCTCACCTTGTAACTCCCTAACTCCCTTCCTTTGCAACGACATACCTACAGTTTAGATGTAAAACTTAATAACACCTCATCGTTACATCTTACTGCTCGTAATACTGTCAATACTTACATTATTTAGATGCTGTAATTATATCATTTCTGAAAAGTTTGCACATGGAGTAGATTGGTTGAAATGTGACGTGTTTCGAATTCCATACACTGTCAAGAATCCTGTTTGAGACGAAACAATTACGACTGATTGTTATTATTATTATTATTATTATTAGGATACCAAATCAGTACATCATGACTTAGTAGCCTAGCGAATAATGCCGTAGCATTTGAAACGATGTGTTTCTGGGGTCCGAGCTACAATGGTAAGAAAACCACTCACTCACTCATTCACTGGAAAACAGATAAATCCAGCCGACAAATCCCAAATAGGACGAACGCACATCCTGGATTCCATTACTAGTCACCATTCATCTTTACTATCAAGCTGAAATTATCGGTAGCGTATCGAGGTCTCCACACAGGCCCCCTTATGCTAATAGTGGCAGATCACAATTCAGTCCAACCAACGACCGTACTCGCTTACTTTTAAGAATCATCCAGTCGACGTCACAAATGGAGTGGTCTTCCTGAGGGTGGACGTCTGTGTGTGTGCACACGTACTCGCTCTAAATTAAACTAACTGTAAAATGTACCATTGAACAACAAGATGGATAGTTGGCAACCAATTCGCATCACCTGTCAGTGTATCATTTTATCGGCTGCCAATGTTTCACAAATATTTCTCTTATTTATGACTAAATAAATTAGTGTAATAGATAATATCGTGACTGTCTCCGACATCCAGCTAACGGGTCCCAAATAGGAGAAAATGTACTAGTCACCAAGTAGACTAACCACCTGTTGACTTGAATATGTGTCTTGCAAACACTCACTTGACTAAATGTTCACTTTTTGACGTACTGATGTTCTTTTCTGCTTCATAAATTAAAAGTGACTACCACTTGAGTAGTCTGAGTGATACAGGTTGAAAGTGTCAACGGTGACAGGTTTTAACTGTTATAACAACAGAAGAAAAAACGCATTAAAATCACAGGGAGAGAAAGGAAGCATATGCTTCACTTCTTTGTTTGGTTGTACGTCTGACCGATGATGGATTGCCAATAATCATTTTATCTAATTCTGACCATCAATTCCAATACATATGTGACCATTAAGAGAAGTTACCGAGTATCACACTTGCCATCATCCACATAGCATCCTAAATCGCGTCCTTGTTAGTACTTGTCAACAAACCGTATCTGAACTGATACTCCCTTGTGGAGATTCAAAATAACGTTTTCTTGTATCGCAAACAGATGTTGCAGTTAGGCAGATATCAGAGGATGACTTATCCTTCCCCTCCCCCCCTAAATGTATGACTGGGTTTATACACTAGTGGATCCACCGGATAGTCCGGTCTGTTCTATTGTATTGCTGTGAAACATGGGTATTAAAGGTAGAAGGCACGAGAAGACTATAGGTGTTTGGTCACCGCTACCTTCGTACCATAGGCCATGTTTTATGATGTCACCACGTGAGTAGCCCAGAAGTCAGACGAAGAGTTTTAGGCGAGAGAGGTAAGAAAGTTGGTGTGTTTGTGAACCTTCGACTGAGACGGCTGGGAAATGTGTTACGTATCCAAAGGCATCGTCTACCTCGTCCCATAATGTTGACCGGAGTAGGTTCAGGCTGGAAATAGGCTCGAGGCGGTCAGACTAAAACATGATACCAATGCATGGAGTCCTTGACTGTTGATTTGAGACAGGTGGGGCGATACAGACTAGTCAGTTGTCGTCTGTGGGACAAGAGAACCTAGTTGTTGGAGACTTTAGGTGATATGGCTAAGAACCGATGTCAGTGGCGCAGATACATACATTATCTTCATCTCATCATTTTCTCATTCTTCCGTCCTGGCTTTTACTACTTTCTACTTCTTTTGGCCTATTTTTCTTTGTTTCTTCATCTTCCACTTGATTGTCTTGTTACTTGGTGTGCTGATGTGACATGTGGCAACTTGTGCAGTCACACAGTAATTCCTGGTCCTGATAATTATGATGATGACGACGGGGTAGTAACTGAAGCTTGTTTTCCAATCATTTGCTGGTTCGTTGAGTTCGATTGGTTGATTGCTTAATTGATTTTAGGGTAGTATTTATCGTGGACTGACATCAGTTAGAGAGAATTTTTATAAAGTTGCGCAGCTGTTCCGTCTTGGCATGAAACACCTCGACAGTGCATTCCAATGACCCCTCAAGGGACCCAACCCAGGACCGTCACGTTTCACGGCGAGTCACTTTCTCGGTATTTATATTCATTTTATGGGTCAGTCAACGATTAGACTAGGCTAATCGGACGGATAAAGACATTCGGATAAACGTCAACAGATGGATGCGGTGTGTACATTAGACTGTGAGCTCACACCTATTGTCTCACGATTCATAAAGTGAATCATTTGGCTGTTTCTCTGAAAGTATTTAGAATATAGTTGACAGTGATGACTTTGTTCACCAAACAGCTCTATCTTATTTTAAGAGTAAAACTTGGGCACTGTGGTCGATTGTAATTCCATTCTAGTCTGTTTATTAGAAATATCACACAGTGAAACAGTAGCATTTATTGGATAATGTTTCGGGCACAATTTATTGTCATATTCATACAGACAATAAATTGTGTCCGAAACGTTGTTATCCAGTAAATGCTACTGTTTCACTGTGTGATATTTTTAATAAGCAGACTAAAATGGAGCTCTATCTTATGTTCTCTGGTTTAACTTTCTTTTTTTCTTTAGGTATTAGCGATGTGCTTTATACGTAAAGGATTAGATTTTATCTTTACTCAGGAAGAATTGAAATGGTTAGACCAAACGTTACCAAGTACTAAACGTAAACCATTCCCCCGTCCAGTGAAATCTATATCAAGTACTACTGATTTTGCAAAGGTCAGTATTTGTTTTTACTCCTTTTTCTTAAAAAATTATCTATTGCTTACTGACATCAGTTGGATTAACACTGGAAGCTTGAGAGCACTGGACAGCTGTTTCATCCTAGTATGGGGCTCCTCAGCAGTGAGCGCCCATGACCCGGCCCAGCAGGGACCGGACGCAGGACCTTCGGGTATTGCAGCCACCACATTACCACTGGCCAGTGGGACAAACCTTATGGCCGTGAGGACAAATACTCAGCGATGACACTGTGTGATGGTCGTGCTATGCCGTAAATTGATAGAAGCTAGAAATATAGATCATTGGTTTCCTATCCAGTGGACCAGTGGTAACGTACTGGCCGGGGAACCTGGGGATCCTTGGTTCGATCTCTGGCGGGGTCATGGGTACTCACTTCTGAGGAGTCCTTTGCAAGGACGAAACGGCTGCTGGCCAGTGCTCTCAGGTTTCCAATGTTCCTCCAGCTGATGTCAGTCTGTGATGAATACCAACTTGAAATCAGTAAATCCCCACAAACCACCAACTTGAACTATCTATTGTGCTTTGCATTTCACTTTCTTTACTCAAGAGGTATCGACATTCTCCAGATGTATCTGCTTCAATTGTTCGTGTTATTGTTGCAGTTCTCTTAGGTTAACACTCTTCAGGGTTATATAAAATAGCTGGCTTCACTAGACTGCTTAGATGAAATAACTTTATGTATTCTGCCCTGGATAAGTGCTAATAATCCGAGGATATTTTCACTTTTCCCCTCTCAATGTTGATTGAATGGTCGGTCAATTAAGCGTGAAACATGACCACTAAACCGAATTACACAACACTGGACCTATCTGTGTCTGCTTGTTGGCTTTTTCTAAGAAGTCGACATATCCACAGCTTTGAAGAGATTCATGTTCTCTCAGAGGTTGTAGGATATATCACGTGGCGCTGACGTCAAATGACTTCATCAGTAGACTACTTAGGTCATCCCAGAGACCGAGCTGCTGATCAGGTTTCTGTTCTAGTATTTCTATTCCCAAGTCTATTCCGTGCTCCCACTTGTTCTTCGTGCTACACATCTACCGGTTGGAAGTGGAATCCAAGGTGTTATAGGCAGTTAATACCATCAAGTATTCATAACGACCATGGACTTCAGAGTATCTTCTTTTGGCTTCCTAACCCTAGTCAAAAAAACCCTATAGGTAAGAGAATTGATCAAAATTTAAGCAACTGAGTTCAGTTAACGAAAGGAAACTTGGAAATGCAGAAAGCAAGTAACTTTAGATCATTATCTACAAGAATTACTGATTGACGTTCAGCAGAATCTGACCTAAACTCAACTCTTCAATGGCATTCACTTCACTGTTTGCAATTAGTACAAACACTCCCTGTTCATATGAAATGAAGATTGAAGGTGAGATGAATAACTTGAGTCACAACAAGATTTGAACCAGTAGCCTGTAGATTACCGACCTCGTGCTCTACCAACTAAGCTACCACACCTTAAAGCTGACCAGGTATTAGTTTCACTTCAATCACTGAGGTCCATGATCTGGATGTCATGTGAATACGCGACCATTCGTCTATCGGAATCACACTGGTTACCCAACCAGTTCTTCCTAAGCGCATTAAAATCCAGCTGAATAAGAAAAGTGGAGTGTCATATTGATCGCTGATGAGACTACTGGAGATAACTGGGGTTTAACAGACTGGTATTACTGGTATAAGGCAATGATACAATACCCTAACTTATATAAAAAGGAATCAAGATTAGATATTAACCCCTGGTAGTCAGCAAAAATATACGGATGCCTGTTCCCCCCAGTGAAATTATTGTCAACCACCATAAACAAATGAAATTTAAAGATCGCTTTTTTTTATACTGTTCTATATAATTTCTACCTTCAAATATCACCGTTGTAAGTCGTTCCTTGTTTTTTCAAGGCAATTTTTAATGATGTAGTGTTTTATGAGGCTTTTTTGTGAGTCCTTTCGGTTTGTTCGGCATTTTTATACCATTTTTCATGCTGTGTAAGCTATTTATTTCTTCCCCTAGGCCCCACCACCACCCACTTCTCCATATATATTTCTTTCTTTTGATCAATGAAATAATTCATCTCATAAACAAGGTTAAATGTTGTTTAAGGTTTATAACATGGTAAACGAACTTACCAAGTAGTTTCTTAAGAAATACACTTGATGATATATGCTTGAATTGTCATTTTTAAACAGATTTGCATCAATGTGTACTT